AGTTATGAACTGATATGTACCAGAGTAATTATTCGCGTCAACTCCAGATCGAAGCGAAATGATACTCAACGGAAGGACAGAAGCGGCAACTGCCCACGAGGCTAGTAGATTGTTCTCAGCTGTTTCTCGCAGAGCTCTGACAGACTCAGACGATGGTAATGGAAAAGAGTGAATGACTTTAGACCTCTGGTACGCCACAAGTCAAGCATTCTCAGTGAGATTTCTTAAGAGGGATTCCTTGCTGTCCACTTTCTCTCACTTGTCTTTCAAGACTAAAGGCAGACTCTGCCTTTACTTCTTCTTCTACCCACCTTGCCAGTTGAAAAATACTCTTTGATTGACAAGCTCCCTTCACTCTTACAACTCCTCTTCTTCATCCGCATCATTCCTACATCTTCTCATCTTCCACAGAACCATCAACAATGCCTAACCCAGCTACACCCAAGAAAGTGCTCTGCACTTTTCCCGACTGCCCTCGCCGTTTCAACACCGTCGAGGAGATGAAGAAACACAAGAGCTGCGCCCCTGAACACGAATACTGCACCCGCTGCGACGAGGACTTCGAGAACGAGGAACGGCATCTAATCCATAAGATCAAAAGCAACAAGCACATCGTCTGTCCCATCTGCGGCGTCGATTTTCGAAGCGAGGGCGGCCGTGACGGGCACATTCGCCAGGTAAGCTTTCCTCAACCCACCAGTCATTCTTCACCCAGACCATGCCATTTGTCACTTGAACATAATACCAACTGTGACGGATGGGTAGTACCACCGCGCCGAGCAAACCCTGACCTGCTATGGCTGCAAGGCTCTCTTCAAGACCGCCGGCGGCCTTATGCGCCACATCGAAGATGACGAGTGTCCCGAGATCACTAAGAGGCGTCTCCTCGAGGAAAGATCCAAGAAGATTATGATCAAGCAGGCTCTGGGAAGTGGCGTGGGTTCGCCCCTGCCCATCCTACCCCGTCCAGGCGATTTGGACGACGTCGACGGCGGCGTCAAGGTCAATCCACTGGAGTACGACAACCGCGAGGCGATGGCAAACCAGCCGAAGCCTGGCGAAGATGGTTCGGCTACATTGTCGCAGAAGCACTGGCCAGAGCTCAAGACGGCTGCCAAAGCCAGGGCAACGGGTAACCCCACGCCTGCTGACCTGATGGCGTTCTCTGACCTTGCCATAACGGACAAGGCCGGGAATGGAGACTGGAAGGGCAAAGGGAGACTCAGAACAATTCCGGAATCCGAGAGGGAGAAAGACGAGAACGAGCGTCCCTTTGGCGTGGGAGCCCCGGATGCTGGCCAGATCTTGCGCTTTCTGCAGCACAACTGGGACCCGACCAACTTTTTCGACTCGTACAGCGGGGAATACGTCTGTCCTTGCAGAGCACGCTTCAAGACCATGAAGGTGTTTGAGGAGCATATGTTGATGAAAAGTCAGGGCGCAAGAGGCATGGAGTATGTATGGTGGTCTGGCTCGGTTGTAACAAATGCTAACTACTACTAACCATATAGGTGTCCCGGATGTCATCGTATCTTCAAGACCACCGCGGCTTTGGTTGCTCACTGCGAGTCCAGTACTAAAAGATGCCAAATCAACGCTAACTCCCGGTTCAGTCAGATCATTGACGAGGTGAGCGCCGGAGTCATTCAGGCGGCGGGCTATATGCCAGATGGAACTGTGAAATATGAGGCTGGAAAACTGGAATTGACCAAGACGGCCACTATCGGCGTTGACCTTGAGAAAAACAAGTGGTAGTTGACAGACACCGAGGATCCTCCTCCTAGTTCCATCCTACCATGGCAATGGTTGAGGGCATAGGAATCGTGCAGCAAGTATTGCGATGGTTTTACCACTGATTCAGAGCCATTGCTGCATAGAATTCAGACTAAGTTGATCAAGATTGTGTTTTACAAAGTCAGCTTGATGAAAATTCAAACGAAAACTATTCTCAAAGCAATGGATGACATCGGAAAGAAAGTTAACGATATTCAAGAATTCGTCTCTATGGCCAGCAATCAGCTAGCAATGGGTATAAAGAGCATCGTAGGACAAACAGCATTGCCAAAAAGGCTTCAAGGCAAACAACACCAGCAGGAACCGGTATATCCATAGTTCATGACCTCCCCTCCTGATGGGCCCAAGTCCCCGAACAGCGATAACAACGCTTAACAGCACTCCTCACAGCACTCGAAGCAGAGGATACCGGCGCAACTAATCCACGTTAGCCAATATCAACAGTCAGCTAGTATCACGGGTTCCATACACTCCACAGCAAACATCTCCGGCGCCACCACCGCGGAGCTGCATCTTCATGGCCTCCTGGTTATTCTGTAGACGCAGTCAGTATTTAATCCCTGTTTGAGAGTACAAAACTGATAGAGAGGAACGAACCGGTTGCTCAGTCACAACACGCTCTGTAGATGGCGCCTCGGGGCTAGCGGGCTGCTGCATGGTGAGGGTGTTAGGGTCCCAGGTGGGTTGTTGCTGGGCGGGGGAAGCATCCTTGGAGGATTTGAAGAAGTTGAAGAGGCCCATTTTGTTATAGATATATGTCCTGTAAGAGAGAGTAGAGTTGGAATGAGTGCGCCTGTAAGGATGAGGATGAGATGCGGAGAGATCGGCGCGAGTTTGAATGGAAAAGAAGGCAGGTACGGGAGAAGGTGGGCAGTGGGCTTATGTACTTGCGAACCCTCACTTCCCCCGGTAGAAATGCCGGGAGAAAGATAAGAGTACAATAGCACCGCCACTAAGTTTAATAGTCAGAAATTATAGTGCTCAAATCGGAAGGTCAACGCTGAAACTGCGAAGACGGAGGAAATCATATGGTCGAAGTGGAGTGGACCACTCATGGCACAGGAGGAATCCACGCTCTGTGGCCTTCATTCAGCCTTGCAAACTTGCGTTGTCGGTGGGGTCCTCTTTGTCATTTTGATGATCTGCTGGGCTTGATTCGATTCCGTCAATTCATCTTTCATTTAGTGTCGCATCATTATTTAATTGACTTTGGAGCCGAGGTTGTCGAATTTCATCTTTGAGCGCTATCCTGTTGCCTGGAGATGTCAACAGAAGAAGCGCCCGACAGGCAATATGGCCTCAGGCGTTTACGATCCCTGTATGTCTTGCCTCATCTTGAGATAACATCAGCAAATCGCTCAGTGAGAATACAGTATACATGAGACAAGGTTGCCGAGCAGTCTCTCCGTGTCTCAGGACCGCAACCATTGTGGCTTGTTATCAGTTAGGCAACCTCATTTCCAATGATGCGGTGGAACCACAGGTCAAACTCCAATATTTGGTCTTGTTTGTGGCTAAGCTTTGCTCAAGCTCCATTTGTCCAGCTTGGCGGGGGCTATTCTTAGATACTGGCCGGTGCCGAAGGCCGAAGTGATCTCAGTCTCATAGGGCTGGCTGGCACAGTATTACGTTGCGGTCTACGTTCTACAATGACCATCTGTGTTGCTCAGGGTTGCAATCACCATAATCAGCGTCATTTCATATCTCGCCAGAAAATGAGGACTCAACAGCCATGTTGTGGAAATAGTAGCGCTGTACTGAAGAGCACGAAATCACGTGATTATTCATGGGCAGTAGGTCAATCATCATTCCTCAAATACACGTGCTTAAGGGTATCATATCTGTCTCTCAAGCTGAGACGTCTGATGGCTATACTCTGTACTCCGCATAGCCTCATATCAATTTCAATCCCCTCCTGGCTGGTGATGAGTTAACAGCTCGATCAGGTACAAGCTGACGGCCAACTGACAATTTTATTGTCAGATGACCTAGAAAGATGTATGATGGGCGATTTAGGCCGTGCCCATCATCCAACCTTGATGTGTTGCCTGAATGTACTGTTCGAGATGTACCATGAATCTCTGCCTGAAAGTCCAGGCAGCCGGAGAATGCCGACCAGACTGCATCTCTGGCTACTTCGGCCACCGTAAATTTTGCATCAACCACCATCGACACCGGTCTTCAATAGTTACCTACAGGACAACATTACCAAAATTCAGATCAATTCAAATAATCCCTGAACAAACTTACTTCCTCCGGGTTCACAATCTCAACCAGGGCAACTCCAACCAAAATGACCACAACCCCCCCTGAACAAGATATGGACATCCACTCCACCCGCGAAGCAGACTACCTCCGCTTCAAACACTACGCCGCCCTAACCTTCCTAATCGCCTCACCCGTGCTCATCGCCCTGCCCCCCAGAAAACTAGACCACCTGACCGTCCTCCTCGCCGGCGCCTTCTGCGTCTCCGCTAACCACCTCACCCGCGAACGCACAGGGCGGAGTATCGTCGAGCGCATCGAGGCGCGAATTACTTCCACCCCGTCACTGGTCATATCCGATCTCCCGAGCCAGCGGGCGCAGGAGGTCCAGGCGAAACTGCGTGCGGCGCGGGAAGCGCAGATCCGGGAGGGAAGTCTAGTGGGCGAGGAGCTGGAGAGGTTGAAGGCGAGGCGGGAGCAGGAGAGGGGCGTTGCGGAGCGGATTTGGATGGGTGGGGAGACGGAGGGGTGGAAGGAACGGCGGCTGAGGGAGGAGCAGAAGGCGTTGGAGGAGGGGAAGGGGTATGGGGATTTGATCAAGGAGCATATTTGGGATGTGTGGACGTGGGGGCAGAAGGATGGGGGGAAGGAGGAGGAGAAGAAGGAGTGATTATGCGGTGGTGGTGGTTTCATGGATGAAGTGTATGATATGGCATGTATATGTGGGTTTGGAAAACAGGAGTCTGGCGTTGGCCAATCTTAAATTCGAGCCATTGGGCTCCCTGAGGCACGGCCGCTGACTTACAGGTGGTGCTTGATATGAAACCTGTTGAATGGCAGAATTCATTCACTATGATACGACTATTGAAAAGCACTGTATTCTTTTGTAGCCCGGCTGGTATGTATTAGAATGTCATCTAGCTTTCCGTGACCAGGCAGGGATAGTATGCACAACGGAGTACAATCGGACCCTTCCAATTGTTTGCGTCGCGCATGAAATGCTAAGCAATCATACTCTGCAAGGTTCCAGGTCTGCCGCTGAGCGTCAAGATCCAGCCTAGAGCAATCTGTGCAGGAGCCACGCCTTTCCGAGCCGCGAGAGCCTTGACTCCGTTCACGAGCTTGACGTTCTGCTTCATGGCCTCGTCCTAGAATCGAGGCAGCTTCTTCCGGTGGTCGCCGTCCGGAAGGTCGGACGCTTTAGTGAACGCGCCGGCCAAGATTTCTCAGCCTAGAGGGGACCGAGCAATCACAGGGATACCAAACTCGGCGCAGGTTTTGAGTACGCCGCGTGGAGAGCATGCGCGTCCCAGATGGATAGTTCTACTTCTACGAGGGCAATAGGGTAGATTCCGTATCTGTTTGGTCATGAACAATTTGATTGCACATTGTCACTGGGAGCAGCAGGTTGAGAAGATAGTAGAGGACGTACGCTCGTTTGATAGTCTCTGCATCATTTACCTCGCTTAGACCAAAGCCCACAATCTTGTCTGATTTGACGAGATCTGCCAAGTATTCCACCATGTCCTCTATTCTAACGGAAGGATCCTGCCCTGCACACTGGAAGATGTCAGTCTGCTTCTTTCCACCCAGCGCCTCGAGGCAGGCGTTGACACTGCGAATAACGTTATGGCGGGAGCAGTCAAGCTTGCGCCCATCCGAAGACATGGCGCCCTTGATGCTCAGGAGAACAACAGTGGCACTCTCCGGATACTTGGAGAAGTATTCGTTGAGCAAATGGAGCGAAAACCAATGCCATCGCCTTATTGAACTCCATCTTCATATTTTTCAGCTTCACCTTCTCTAGGCACAGCTTCGATCTGAAAGGGTTGTGGCTCGTGGAATATGTGGGCGCTTCCAACTGGGTTGGATGGATCTCTTGGGCGTACTCGCTCAACTCGTGCTTGGAGAAGGCAGGAGTTTATATAATTTCGATCTTTTGGGACGGATTCAATGTCGTCACAGGTGATCCTGTAAACGTACTTTGTCGGGTGAACTGGGATGTAGATGACCTCGTATGGTCAATCCGAGTTGTAATTGACGATATCTTCCACAACGTCAGAGAGGTTATGATTACCTGGAGTACCCTTTATTTCACGCGGTGCCATATTGTTAGCCGACATTCTTAGCAAAGTGTCAGACGGGAGTAGTAGATATGCTGGGGTTTGAAAATGTTAGGATGTCCGCGATTTTACGCCGAGGAGAGTAGCGATCCATTTATAGAACTTAATATGGACGCGCCTGATTGACACTCTTTGGCCACGCTTGATACCAGGATAAGGATCAGCCAGAAGCAGGAAGCAACGAATACAATATGAATGATTGCGCCTGGTTGAGAAAGCTCAATAGAATATGAGTAAGGAGTAATACTACGTAACATTATTCTGTGACCTCAATGCTCCTCTATATGAAAGACCAGGATAAGCACAATAAGCAGGATCAGTATAATTAGTGTCTAGTGGCTAACAAAGATGATATCAGCTTCGTTCTACTTCCACTTACAGGACATGCCGACTTGTATTCCCTAGACAGTGTGCTAGTTCCAAGCCTTGCCAAGGACATCCAAAACCTGATCAACTGTTTGATGACGTCTATATGCTTTTGCCTCCAAAGAATATCCTGTCACATAGCAAGGCAATTATCGAGCTTCCTTCCTGAAGAGGAGAGAAGTATGATTTAATAAGATAGGCTGGATTCTGTGGAAGAATCACCATAAAAGGAAGGAGGAACAGTACGGATCTATGGAGTTAAATTTTGATTTAACTAATAAGAATGTGCGTACGGAACGCTTTAAAATAATTATAGAGAATGGAGAAAGTGATGAAGATCACCTCATAATAAGCTATAAGGGCTTATAACCTGTGAATGAGAGAGAATCTTATATTCTAACTATCTTGCTAGCTAAGAGAGAGAGAGATATCTACAAGCAGTGAAGTGAGAGGTTACCTTCATACATTGCACTATGCCTAAACTGGCAGTAGGTGAATGAGTAACGCTCACAGTCTTCTATGACAGGCACTACACTTGGCAAATTAATAGATTAGATATGTAAACGGGCCAGCTTCAGGTCTTAGGTACTAAAGTCTTGATTGTGGGCCTGCGGCACAGTCATGATGCGGCTTGGCTGTGATGAGATGCATACTTTCCTCCTAAACCAGTGAGTGAAAGACGGGTCACTAGATTTGTTAGACGACATGAGCTACATCTCAACGCAAATATGATCATTAACGACAGGATCTTTCCAGTAGCTGATCCAGAAATCAGCTGCACTGGATACATATAGAAAGATATAGTGATGTACTGATTACTTTAGTTTTATTTGGACGAATGTGTGTATCATATTACTAGACCTAACCTGTGCAACAGGCGGCGAGGACTTCTACCCCATGAAGTAGTTCTGTCGATCAGCTCTAGAAATCTATCTGTTGCCTGTGCGGTGACTGTAGAATATGCCTCCAATCTAAAGGCTTTTCTCCCCGTGATCGCCTCCAAAAGTTAGTCGAAGCCAATAGCTCAGGAGAGTCTCTTATCATCCACATCCATTTGTGCGCGAACCTCTCGGTGACCTCCCAGTTCTTTGGATCCCACGAGTCGCCCCACACAAGCAGCGTCGCGGCCGTGTTCCTCGTATCCCAGAATGCCATAAGGTCATGACACAGCTCATCATCATCGAACGAATCGCCTGCGAGAATGAGAAGGTCGCGCATGCGGGGAAACGGGAAAAAATCCAGCCATGGATGATGCGGGACCTGCAGCTGGATGGGGGTCGGGCGTAAGCTAGGTGGAATTCGTTCCGTGGTAAAACTGGGCTGCTGGAGATTGAAGACGGAAATGGCATCGTCGCTTCTCATCCATTCGGGGGTCATCCCGATCATGGTAATATTCTCGTTGATTGCTCGATGGACGTTAAGGCGGCACAGACTGATCAAGTGGTCTCTCTGTGGAGAGCCGTTCAAGTAGCTCTGGTAGGCTGCCGTTTCAAACCATTGCCGGAACTGCAGTGCATGAGGCGGAACGATGGCGCATGCGAACTTGTCATGTACTTCTGCGGTGGCGGAATAGAACTCGCGCAGAGATCTGTCCCAGGTGGATTCAATGGAAGAAGAAACAGAAGCAGGGGGAGCGAAGATGCTCGTTTCGGAATGCGGTCCTACTGGAATTACCCGCTTCCTCAAGCCTAGCAAGGTGGGTGTCAGCACTTGAAGTTTGTCTATCATCTGCTTGCCGGGGGTTGATGCTGTATCAAGTTCATGTTAATACGCACGATAGAGTCGCTGATTCAACCGATTCTGTAATTTCCTGCGCTCTTTTCGATCTATGACGCCCGTCCAATCATCCTGTGGTGCACGAACACCGGCTTGCTGAGGCATGCTCGCTAGTGGGATCATATCGTAATGCGGTGTATTTCTTATCATGGTTCGTATACACTCCATGCAACATTTGAATTTAGAACTCATAAAACCTGCTAGAAGGCGCGAAGACGGAGCCTAAATGCAAGACGCTGACAGGAATCAGCTACCTAGTGCCATTACAGGGATCCACAGAGGGGCGAGCGCCCAGAGGGCTCATAACCAGATATGCTCGTTACTTGAACTTACTTCCAACGAGATGCAGAGATGCTGTGGCTTATCAGCGACATTAGAGTTCTGCTAGCTAATGCAGGGTGCTTACGTCTCTAGCCTGATTTGGTTAACATGCCAAGAATAATATTGACTAGTTGGCAGAGAGCCAGAAAGTGTCTGCCTACCAGCTATGCAATTCCTATTTTCGCTGGGTGGAGGCATTAAGTGGCGTAGAGATCAAGTGTTAACCAGAATATGCACTATCATTCCTACTATGCTGGAAATGGAAGTCTAGACACCTTTTTAGCTTAGTGGTTTGATGGTTAATATCAAGACAAAATACAGATACAGACTGACTCTCTGAGCGGGGCGTCTTTCTCCGGGCGCTAATGCACCTTGCTTACGCCAAGCCAGACCCACCGCATCACAGAGGATCGGAGCTAGCGCCTCAAAATCAGCTCTACATTTGGATCGAGTCATCAAGCATGCGTGATTGGTTATTGAAATGAACACACGTGCTACTTCAAGTTAAATGAACAACCCCGCCGAAACCGGGGCACTCAGCATCTGCTCTTCTTGGATCTCTCCGAGCAGCGCATTGCCTGGGTAATCATCCAAATCCAAATCCACATAGCCCCGGGACGCCCATTTCCTGGCGGTGACGAAGAAGGAATGACCGTTGACGCTAGGGTCACTAAGTATCCGAAGTAGACACTGTCCTGCATCCTCAGTCGTGGCAAATTGGACCCCGACATTGGAGACGTGGTCAAACGTCTTCTCCGGCAGAATATTGGTTCGGACGTACCTAGCCAAGAATTTTCCATTAGCCATACGCCACACACGACGCCGGACGCCTGCATGACGCCACAGCACGCGCAATAAAGAGGTAGGTGACATACCAAGGGGAAATCACGTTGACCCGGGAGCCATAATAGTAGGTGGTCCTCCGTAGCGAATGCATGATGCCCCGCATGGCCCATTTGCTCGCACTGTACTGCGGTGCCCGGGGACAGTCCAGGAACGCCGCCCCTGAGCCGATGAAAATGAGGCAGGTATCCTCCTGGTCAAGGGTGGGCGTTGAACCGTTTTGGCGGATGAAATAGTGGGCGGCCAACTTGGCAGTGTACAATGGGCCCTTGATGTTAATGTCGATGATGGCCAAATCCGGTTTGGCAGGCTCCTGGTCCGGGTGTGGCTGCTCGAAGACTTCATCCGGGCGATGAATCCCGGCGTTGGCCACCACGTAGGCGATGCGGCCGTTTGGGGAGAGAGAGACTGCGTTTTCAAAGAGTCGGACTTGGTCATCCCAGCTGCCCGCGTCGCAGGGAACAAATTTCGTCCTTGATGAGGCAAGAAGGTTCTGGTCAGTGATGGACTATGCTTAACCCAGAGTGTCGAGGTGGATCCTACATTGGCAGCTCTGCCGCCAGGCGTTGACCTTTCTCCAAGTCGATATCTCCGAAGCAGACATAGACCCTAGTATATTACATTTTAGCTCCTGTGGGTAGATGATGAGCTGAGGTCTCAAGGAGTGTTCCATACCCAGCAGCAACGAGCGCCCGCACATAAGCTTCACCAAGACCACTCGCACCTGTGTGTCTGTAAGCGAGTGCAAAACCGTGTTATTATGAGATCATTTGAATCTGGTTACCTCCCGTCACAATGGCAGTCTTTCCCTTCACACTGCTGGGGTCAAAGTCCCGCTCACAGTCGACTGGCCCGGTGTGGATGTAAGGGGCCATGACGAATGAGGCTCGATCAGTAGATGAGGACGCGTACAAGTTGGCTTATCGGGGAAATGATAGAAAAACCAAGACGTTACGTGCACCCAAGGCAGCATAGCTCACGGAGAAGGACTCTTTTATCTTCCACAGGCAATGCCATTGCTGTGCCTCCGGTGTACTTCCGTGTTCGTATGATCCAAGGATTAGAGTCAGCCTTCCGGCTCAATAGACCGTGGATCATTCATGCAGCGAAACGGACTGGACTGGCCCCACATGTAAGCAACTCGCTTTTGGATCAAACTTGTCCAGTGATTTTCACCCCTGACTCAACTACCTGAGAACCAAGTGTCTCGGCATGACGACAACGTCCCTCATGATGTATCCTTTGCAAGGGCCTTGGTCTGCACTCTCCGGTGCAGATGATGTAGGAGCAATGGCGTGCAACCTCCCACCCCTCCAGCGTGCTTATTTATACCACCGGTCGACCTGTGCCTTGGACCTGAGACAGAATCGTTCTCTCCTTAATCTCAACTAGTCTACTAGACTTTTTCGAACGAGTAACTCATCGCACCATGAAGGTTTCGACAGCCCTTAGCCTGACCGCGCTACTTTGCGCAATATCGGCTACCGCCCAGAACCTCTCCTATGGCGCAGACAACTTCTACCGCAGTGACAGTGTCACCCTGCGGCCTATCACATTCAAGAACCAGTTTCAGATGACGGTGGCTGGCAACCTCTTTGTCCCCCACAGCCAGAACCTGACCGGCGGCGGTGATGCACCAGCTATCATCGTGGGCCATCCGATGGGCGCCGTGAAGGAGCAGAGTGCGAACCTGTATGCCACCAAGCTGGCGGAACAGGGATTCGTGACCCTATCCCTCGACCTCCAGTTTTGGGGTGGAAGCTCCGGGGAGCCGCGTAACGCCGTGTCGCCCGATCTATACGCCGAGGCCTTCAGCGCCGCGGTCGACTACCTCGGCACACAGAACGTTGTCGCCGTCGACCGCCAGCGCATCGGTGCAGTGGGCATCTGTGGCAGTGGTAGCTTTGTCATCAGCGCGGCCAAGATTGACCCGCGCATTCGGGCCATTGCCACCGCAAGCATGTACGACATGGGCGCCGTCAACCGCAACGGACTACGTCACTCCCAGGGTCTCACCGAACGCCAGGCCATCATCAGAGACGCGGCACAGCAGCGCTGGACCGAGCTGGAGGACCCGAGCCAGACCAAGTACACCAGCGGCACTCCGAACGAGTTGACTCCCAGCACCGACACCGTCGGGCGCGAATTCTATGACTTTTACCGCACCTCCCGCGGCGAGGTCACCCCCGCCGGATCTACCCCCGAGCTCACCACCCACCCTACTCTAACCAGCAACCTCAAGTTCATGAACTTCTACCCCTTCAACGATATCGAATCGATTGCCCCGCGTCCATTGCTGTTCATCTCCGGCGACCAAGCTCACTCCCGCGAGTTCAGCGAGGATGCGTATGCCCGGGCCGCTCAGCCAAAGGAGCTGCTCTGGATTCCTGGCGCCGGCCATGTTGACCTCTACGATCGTGTGGATCTCATCCCCTTTGACCGACTCACTCGGTTCTTCCAGACGAACCTCGCCCGTAATGGGACTGCTTCTAGCACTCGGTCAAAGCCTTGAGAAGTAAATAATCTAGTATGATCTAGCTACAGGTGCAGAGCGCAGTTGAATATAGACCAAAAAAAACGAGCTGCAGGTAACTTGCCTATATGCTTACTACGAATAGCTATCCTGTCTAACCCAGGGGCATGCATATATATATCTGAAGTATATTCTGAAAGAATATTGCGTACTCAGTAATTTCAAGGGGACAAAAGTCTACACATTCAATCAACTGGTGCAGGCTCAGCTTCAAGCGTCATGCCTTCTCTACCACAAACCGCGTGGCATCCTCAATAGCTCCAGACCCCAGTGCTTGCAAAGTCTCGTATAATTATTTTCATCTTGGCCTGCCTTCCAGTACATGTGCCACAGAGTGCAAGGGAATAGTACTACTACCTTCATGAATCGCAAAGCATTATCACGCCGTCACCTTTAACCGGAAACGGCCTAGCAGGAGCCTGTACGGAGGACTGATTGCTATACTACGAGAGTTAGGGTTTGACAGAGCACCTCAATATCTGGGACATGGAAGGCAAAAACGGCCGCCACGGTCCACCTCACGTCAATATAAGCACTATGGACCCCTAGTCTGTAGAGCCTATTGCTGGTTAAGTTATATAATGTGCATGGGAAGTCCTGTTATTAAGGTATACTTACTGAGGATAGTTATTGTTCTTGTCAGAAATGGCAGTACTGTACTGGGTTTGATTATCACTAGTAATTTGTACAGAGTTGATAGATCAATGAATTCTTCTCTATCTCCTAAGTGATCTGTGTACCATGAAACATTAAATCATATGATATCGGGGTTTCATCACAGAAGTCAGGAGACAGTAAATATCAGCAGACATAAACCTTACGTAGTAGCCATTTCCAATGTCTGCAATGTTCTAGAATGCAACAGCTTTCTAATGAAGTCGTCATTATGTGCCTTAACAGAGAAAGAACACTATTTAAATTCTTTGCACATATGTTTTCTTTAGCATTTACTTTGTACAATGTAATGTGCATGTACTCGTCCACTGCTATATCACAATGTCCACTTGACTAAAAGGAATTCATCCGTTCCACGATTCTAACTTCCAACTTGTGATTCATTCTATAGCTGAATCAGTATCAATTCCAGACACTAAGGATTCATGAAAACATGCCGAAACGATCGGGTACCGCATGGAAGCCACCATATGTGGAAGATGTGGCTCGAGGAAACCCACATGCCCAAGAGCAACTATTAGCCTACTTGAAACGATTTGGGTACTACCAAAACGAACGGGAGGGAACGCTGCAGGCCATCGAAGCGGGTGTCCGCAACTTTCAGCAAAGCCATCGACTACCTGAGACAGGAGTCTTTGAGCCTACTATGTTTGAGTTACTGGGACGGCCGCGCTGCGGTGTGCCCGATAATGGCATATCATTCGGATTTGTTCTCGGAGAGTCAAGATGGCAGCACACCAATTTAACCTTCGCCTTCGACAATTTTACCGCCGACATCAGTGAGCAGCAAGCGAGAAGGGAAATTCTGGACGCTCTGGCGGATTGGTCGAATGTGACGCCTCTGACTTTCGCTGAGCTACCCTCCACGCAGCCCGCTGATTTACGATTCATGTGGGCTAGTGGCAATCATGCAAATGAACCAGTCGAAAAAGACTTTGACGGGTTGGGTGGAGTGCTCGCACATGCTTTTTTCCCTCCACCATCAGGTGGCACGCTTGCCGGACAAATCCATTTCGATGAGGACGAGTTGTGGACAGCAACTGGGCTGCGGAATGCAGCCCTTCACGAAATTGGCCATGCACTTGGCCTAAATCACTCACCAGATAATCTGTCTGTAATGAGCGCGTTTGTCAACACGCTAGCCATCAAGCCACTCACGATGGACGATATCGTTGGCGTCCAGTCACTCTATGGCCAAAGGCCTGTTGGGCCGTTTACTTCTGTTTTTGACAGTGGAGGACATGGCATGCCGTCTTTCGATCTCATGTCAGACTTCGACCGTGCCTTTGCTTTCGATTTCGACCACAGTGGAGCGATGGATCACTTAGTCATGTATCGCCCAGGGCAGCAGGGGCTGATCACCATCGTCAAAAAGCAGAGCGACGGTTCGTTCACAGCGGTGTATACTTCCGATGCCATCGGTGGATACAAAATGCCGTCCAATTTGAATACAGACCAGGCGTTTGCCTTCGACTACGATCATAGCGGGTTGCTGGATCACATCTGCCTTTACCGTCCAGGACAAGGGAAATTCTGGATCATCGCACATGATACAGTAGATACATGGCGGGCTGTCTACAACAACGATGGGACCGGGATTGGTGGACTAAACTTCAATCTCGTTCAGGACCGAGCATTCGCTTTCGACTTCGAGCACATTGGAGCCCAAGACCACCTGTTCCTTTTCCGGAACGGCTCGGTTGGTGGGATCCGTATCCTCAAGAACGACGTAGGTACATTCAGGGTCGCATACAACTCAAACAATGGGTTTCCTGGGTCTGCCACTATCTACAACCACGTCGCAGTGCCCTTTGACTTCAACCACTCTGGTCTTATGGACCACGTCATCATCTATCTCCCCGGTAGCCACACCGATCCGTCGTTCCGCAAAATCGAAATCTTCAGGAATGATAATGGCACATTCAAGCCGGTGCTACAGAATCCCGACCTGGCCGATGGCATCGCAGGCTACAAACTCTTGTCTGTTAACATTCAGATGCTAGCTTTTGATCTCGATGGCAATGGGAAAACAGACTATCTCCTCATCTATGACCCGGGTAGTGGCCAGATTATCATCGCAAACCATAGGGGGAACGATTTTGTGCGCGCATACGACCAGGGTGGGTTCGCGGGAGGAGGAATCGGTAAATTTGATCTGAAAGATCCTCGGGACCGAATCGTGGCGTTTGATTATGACTCCAAGGGGACTCTTGACTATCTCGTGTGTCTTCGGCCTGGGACAGGAGATTTGAGGATTCTGAAGAACGAAAGGACTGTTGTGTAGGAAGACCAAGTGAACAGTCTAGCCATATCAAAAGATTCTGCCTTGAGATTCTGGGGGTTGTTCCTTAGTACGAATCGATGTACAACCTTCCTTGTAAGTCAACAATCTCCTGCCCATATGGTCTACTGCTCGGTACGGATTCGCCCCATGATCCAGCAGAGACTTTATGATGTACACAGTTCCGTATCCAATAGTGTAGGTCAGCGGAGGTTGGTTGACCAAATCAACAACGTTGGGGTGTTTGCGTTAACGCAGCATGGTATAATCACGGGTCCAAGCTTCTGTTTGGTCGGCCCCTGCTCGAGAAGCAACGACGGTATATCTATATCCCCATTCTTGGCGGCAGTGCTTAATAGAATCTGTCAGTAGTGGTAAAAGAAATTGAGCGCAGCTCCATGACTAACCAGTAATTAGCTACTACGACCCAAGGACGGTCTACATCCGCATCTACACTCTACTGTCCAGTCGACAGTAAGAGAAAGGAATAGTTGAAAGGAAACTCGAGCATTCCATTCAAAACTAAAAAAAAAAAAAAAAGAAAAACTTGTAACAAAATCAACAGATACAACAAAATCCCCCCATTCGGGCAGTGGATCAAGGAAAACATCTTCGTAACGTTTGTCGTTGATCGAGGTAAAAACCTTGAACGGGATACATCAAGATAACAAGAAACCCCATACAAATCAGTCCTCCAGCTGTCTTTTTTTTTGTCTTTTGATCAGCTTTTACCATGTTTTTCAAAGTTTCTCATCTCTCTTTCTCTTTCGTCCCCAGATAAGACGGTCTCCCACGATGTGGTGAGATCCATACAACGACTCAGCAGGAGCTGGTCTCAGTGAGCCAGTCCTTTCTTCATCCCCAGGAAAATAGAAAATTGTTCTCCCACATCAAGTGTGGTGAGAACTGTCAACTCTCATAGGAGATAGTCCCTGTAGGCTAGTCCTGTCTCTCATCCCCTGATATAAAACTGTTCTCCCACTTCATGTGGAAAGGACATTGAAAAACCGGAGTTGATCACTTGGATCAATCCTCTCTTCTCAAACAAAAGCTGTCTCCCACTTCATGTGGATGAAACTACATCTTCCCCAGAAATCCCTTGATGGGATGTTTCAAGATGTCTCTTGACTGAGACGAAAAAGTTTCCTCCGCTGGGATTCTCCCAATCCCATGGCCGGCGCCGGCCGATTTCCTTGTTCACTTTGTTCTTTGACTGATTGTTCAGTCGGTAACTGGAGGTCGAAATCCGATCAAATGTTCAGTCGCTGCATCGGAGCAGTGGATAGGCGAAGGTAGATTAAGTTGAACGAAAAGGGTTGCCATAAGGTTGTTGTAGTTGGTAATGTGGTAAGATTCGAAAATGGAATTGGCTTGTCGCCCGCAGATTGATTGTATCGACTCGACTGAAGGTTTCTCGGTTGTCGGTTTGTGGACCGGTTGGATTGTTTCGACGATTTGAACGATTAACCACCATGTTGACGCTGCTAGCCCAAAGTGACATTCGAAAAGAGAGAGAGTCGAAGTCGTGAACGAAGGCGACCCGGCCGACACCTATTGGGGCCCTCAACAGGGCGGCCAGCAGTCGCAAAAGCATCGTTCAAATGGTGTGTGCAGGTGAAACCTTTTTCTTCGTTGTTTTTGTTCTTTGTGATTGTGATGTTGTGGCTTTCATGGAGGTTTCGTTTTTCCCGGTCAGAACAATTATGCGTTTTTTGTTGTTGTTCTCCCGTCAGGCATCACAAGCAGTCAAGCAATGGTGGGTGGGACGTGACATTGCCAATGCCAACGTCCCGAGGTATGTCAGGTTCGCGGGGGGTTTGGCGTGCCAGTGCCCAGAATGGACAGTTTGCTGGGCTATCCTGGCCCCCCGGAAGTAAAAAAAGACAATTTAGAAGTAGAAGGGGGCACCAACCACCTGGAGGCCGGTGGTGGTGCTCCCCTGAGCCTCCTCGTTCACAGCGAGGTTCAACATGGCTGTGGCCTGGGAAATCGTCAGCAATTGCTGTCAAGAAAAGTAGGGAGAAAATTGAACTCACAATCCAGTTCATTGCCAAAGCCCCCTGAGCAAAATACTCAGCCCTCTATAAAGGTGTGAGTATGCTAATCATAAACCTCGATTTCGACCTAGGACAGGAACTTACCTCTTCGGGGAGGGGATGGGCGTCTGTCATGACCACGTCTCTATCTTCTTCAGCCGGGGCCGTGATGGGTGCAACAAATGCGTCCCTCATCACAACGTCACCATCCCGGGTGCGTGTGAAAGCAGTACGAAGCTGCTGTGCACGACGCTGGTTGTTGTGGTTATTGTTGTTGTTGCCCGGGTGTCTAGGCGCCTATTCTTTTGTCAGCTTAATAGTCGTTAAAGGTCGAACAGGAAAAAATGTACAGCGTTTTGCCGAGGCTGTCTGTTGTTGGGCAAATTGCCCTGCCGTCTGGAGTTGTTCCCACCCTTGCGGGTGTTCGCCCCATTCGGATTCGGAGTATTAGGAGAACGACGAGGCTGCTGGTTGGGTCTCTGACCTCCAGCGTTTTCTCCTCGCCGTCTGTTCCCACGAGGGGACTAGAGGAAGTCAGCTTTGTGCCTCAGATAATGGGACAAAAGGGGGAAGTAAAGCTACATTCTGGTTGCGATTCACGCGACCCTAGAAGCCAATTAGCAGAAAGTACATATCACAACAGGGAGACAAACACTTACATGTCCATTGCGGTTGGGGTTACCGCCAAATTGTCCAGTTCCGTTCGGTTGGTGGCCATTGGAAGCAGAAGCTTGAAGAAACCGGGCCATGTCCCCGCCGAAAGTGTGAAATCCGTTGTTGTAGAAAGCCATTGGGTTTTTGGTCTTCCTCGGAAAAAAGGTTATAAAAGAAGAACAGTTTCAAGAGAGTGAAGGTGAAGCGGAAGTTTTTTGGGCGAATACCACTGCTACCGGCTCTGGTCGGTTTAGCTTACTCTCCAGAACGGATCCCTTTATTTCCTTCGTGAGTGAAAAAAGTTTAAAAAAAAGTTAACGATCTAAAAGCAGATTTGGTTTGGCTCTTGTTTTGTTTTTTGGAGTCCAAAGTTTGAAAATTCAAAAACTATTTGAAAAGCAACGCTCCGATTTCAGCCCCTATTGAGAGACAACGTATAGTCAGTGGGTGCGTGAGGTGAAGGTCTGCGGTGTGGAAATGTAATAAAGAGCTCTTGTGGTGTTCTTTGGTTTCTTCGAGTTGGAATCTGGAATAGTCACTTGATACCTGATGGTAGCAAGTAACTGAGCACACGGTTTGGGGCTGAAGAAGAAAAGAAATCAGAGAGAGTCGCGGGGCAGATTGATGAGCTTCTTATAGATGGGGGAGCTCCAAGAGAAGATGTAATACCTCGTCGAGACCGTGGTTCTCCATTGCAGTAAATGCGTCAGAAAGACGGTTGACATGAAGGCAGCCATGCCTACCAGAGCTGAGAGCGCTCGAGATCATTCTTTTTCTCAGGATCTGTGGGCGAGAAGGTGTGTTGTCACCTTTATTCCCCCAGATTGTATGGGTACCACATTTCCTGTTCCTGAATTTTCCGGGGAAATAAGCTTATCAGCGACGGATCTACCTAAAAATAGCATGTCAACCTGCATTTCCGCAGAAAATAGTCCAATCATATTCGATGCTTGAGAATCTTTCCTCAGGGTTCTCGTTCCACTATTCTACATCTTTAATGATTGGTTGAAGCTTGAGAATTGTGTTCTGTACATCATACTTAGAGAATGTCTTTCCTTAGAAAGGAAGAAAGACAACATACCAGCTCTGGGTCATCCAGTCAAACTGGTAGAATTAACTCGAAAAGCTTAACTCTGTCTTTTCGTTCCTGACTTTGATACCTGCTCGCTGCCCTCATTGGGGAGACAGAGCATAGTAAATCCGCAGCGTCCAATAGAGTCCACAGAAAAGAGTTGACTTGAGCAAGCTTTTATCAATCTGCTTGTTCCTGACTTTGTTGGCTCATCTTCTTTATCCTGTTCAAGGCAGAACGAATAGAAAGAAGAAAGAAGGTACGAGCACAGGTACAAGCTCTATACGTCCAGAACTCCTTGGAACATACTCAACAAGCTTTTCTCCGTCTTTTCGTTCCGTTCTTGAGACAAGGTTTCTGCTTAAAATAGAACGAAAAGACAGAAGACCAAGTCAGAATCGTCCAATTGAACTCGCAGGATCAGCTCAGGAAACTTTTCGCTGTCTTTTTCTCGCTTCTGACGTCGATGTCTTTTCGTTCAAAATCTCTGGGTCGCGCTTTCTCCCTCCAATTTTGCCACCTGATGTCTGCGAGAAAGAATCGGGGGTCTCAGCGCTCCCCTCGTCTCCTGCACCACTAGTTTTGACCTTCTTCTTCCTAGGCCGCGCGACGCCGCCAGGCGACGAGGCAGAAGCGCTCCCGTTCGACGCTAGACTATCCCGTTTCCTCTTTTCTGGCTTAGCATCTCTCTGTTTGCGCCGCTCCTCCTTGATTTTCAATCGCCGCTGGACTTCCTCTGAAATATCCTCCGTCTCTAATGCCACAGGCATCACATCTGCGACTTCCTGCTCAGCGCCGGGAATAGCTAGGTCCAGCCGCTTGCGCTTCGAAGACCGAGAAATCGCCGCGTACACCCCGTCCTCCTGCGCCTGCATCAGCTGGGCCTCTGCCTGCATGACGTCCACGTCCTCATCCGCATCCTCGTCCACTCTCGCCCGCTTTTGCTTCTTCCCTCCTCTTTCTCTTTCTTTTGGGTGATTACTTCGTGACGAGTCACTATTGCCATTTCCCGCTGCCTCAGGCACACCAGCAGAAGGATTCCGCGCTTCGTCCTCGTCAATTCCCTTCTGCCTCCCTAGATTTCGGCTGAAACCGGGACCAGACTTACTATTCATCTGAATGACCCATTAGAACCAAAGAGAAGTTACCAGAACGGGCTAAAGATGACTCACGAGCTGTTTCTTGATTACCCTGAATTGCATCACTAATTTATTCGTCTTGTCGGCCATCGAGGAAACCAGTCGGAAGGAGTCCCCGTCGCCCGCGACTTGGCTCTTCACACCATTCAGCATCTCCAGATGAGACAACAGAACGGACTCATGCTGCTTGCAAATCTTTGTTTTCAATTTCAGTCAGTAATCGGCCTGTTACGTTGTATCATCTATCCGGGTAGTATGCATTCATCCACCCACCTCCGACCATGAGAATAGCTTGCGCTGTGCGCCAAAATTTTTGAATTGAGGATTCCCGTTTGCTTCATCGCTAACGTCTTCAACAAATGGGCTTAACGGGTGCTGGGGATTGCTTGATGGCATTATGCGCAGCCTTTCAATTTTGACCCTGCGTTGAATCAAAGCCCGCAAATCCTTCGATGATCGACGGACCTGTCAATATAAGCCGAGGGTCCCGCGCCAAGACTCCGCTACTGTCGACCATTCACATTAGCGCTCATTAGTGCCAGATGTGGAGTTGTCCTGCGAACCATTTCGCATGCAGAATTTCGGAGTATCTACGGAGTATGGTCCAACTACACTTCTCATCACTGTCGCGCTGTTTTTATTCGCCAGCGCATATTGATCATAGAACTCATATATAGATTCCATTTTTGAGCTCCACATGTTAACGCCAGAATTATGTGCTGTACTATAGTGATATCCTGATGTCCTGTGACCATGTGAATCGTACATAACCAGATGCAAAGTCTCATCTTCGCCAATACGCCATTCTAAAGCATCAATCATGCTCCCACACAGCCCAATAGTCATACAGACAGTCCCCCTCAGCATTCAAATTCCAGCCAACTACCATGCACCAGGGTCAGAATCGAACCGAGAAAGTTCTTTCTGCGCATCTTCGACATCCTTCTTTGCCTTCATTCGCATGTAGAAGATCGGACAGTCTCGAGAGGAGCAAATTACCTCGCAGTGCAAGCTACCCTGACAGCGCTGGCATTGAGTCCAGAGCCGTCCAAATCGGACCTCGAGGTCCGATACTTTGGTCAATGTTTTTGTGTAAAGCTCGCCAATTCGAGGGCGGCAATGTGCGCAAACAGCGCCGGCCATTTCTTCTTTACCAGAAAGAGGCTTCTTGCAACCCATACATGTTTGGGTCTTCTTCGCAAACTTCATCAGACCTCCCAAGGTAGGCGCCGCCACTGAGATGGACCGAGTGTGTTCACCAGTCAAAAGCTGATTGGCTTTCTTCTCACCAAGAATGGGTTCGAAAATACGACCCAGAGGATTCGCCAGTTGGTTGTCAAGGTAATATTTTGTGTCGATCGGAATGTTGTTCTCCAGAACGTATATAGGATCTTCAGACTTCTCGTAGTTCTTCGAGCCTCCAGCGCCCTTGACAATAACATAAGCCACACGGTCGCCGAGAGTTGGCGCAGAGCCTGCGTCACGCTTTCGCATCCGCTCCGCCAGCTCAACGTGTGCCTGCTTGGCTGTATAGTCGGCTTTCGAGAGCGCTTTGGTAATCACAAGCTTTGACATATCGATCTTGTTCTGCAGGAGATCGGAGATGGTTTCCTTGACGTAACTGCGCATCAAGTCAGCGAAGAGGACAACATGGAGGGATAAGCCATCACTTACTCCTGAGCGCCATCGATGTCTCTCTCAATCAAAATCTTGTGCAGCACCGTCTCGATGACATTCTGAACCAACAGACAGTTATCTCTACGGACGGTTTCAATACCTTTTGTATCCATTTTATCGAACTTGTTCGGGTTGGTCCAGTAGAGCCCGGCGTATCTCTTCTTGTTAATTAGAAGATAGGGGAAGTAAACCTTCTCAAACTCGAGTTTGATCGGTTTGAGAAACTTGGAAGAGACATAATCGGCTGCCTCCTGTCCGAGTTTCATGGCCTCTTCCAGTTCAGTCACGCCAAACTTAACCATGACCGAGTCGGTATCACCGTAAATGACCTTGGCATCATGGGAGTACCCATTAGCGATAGTGTATCTGGCTTCAACCTCCTGCTTGGTCTTTTCAATCATTTGACGTCCGTAACTGGTGGTACTACTCGCAATAGGAAGGCAGGGCAGCTTTCCGACTGTGGCACCAGTGAGACCGTACACACTGTTGGCGCTGATCTTCAGAGCCAGCTGTCTTCCGTTCAACACTGCTTTCTTGAAGGGATCCGTTTCGACGGCCAACTCCTTTTTCGCCCGTTTCCGAGCAGCAAGCAATTCTTCCAGAATTTGCGATAGGAGGCCTTTGCGCACTTTTGTTGTGCAGAACATGTCGCCGTTCGGGGTCACAATGTAGTCTTCATCTTTCTTGAGCTTCAATTTCTCAACGCTATTCTTGTTTAGCAGGGTCGTGTAGCATAGGTTATGAGCTTGGATAATCGAGGGATATAGAGACGCGAAATCGAGGGTCGCAATCGGAACACCGTAGTACCCGCGACTTGGTTCAATAACGGTAGCCCCTTCGTAGTCTTGTTCGTCCGTCGACTTCATATTCGGGATGACAAGCTGTTGCTCAAGGGCTTTGCGAAACAGTTGACTAAGGAACTTGACTTGCTGACCGCGAGAGAGGAGAAAGTTGAATGGTACACCCGTGACTCTCGCCATCTCAGTATAATTGACCAAGCACATCAGCTTGTCCATCAGCCGTTGTGGCAAGTACGCATCCTTCAAACAATACACGGCTAATCGCCGCCTCGAGTCAGGAGTTCCATTGAACAGTTCCGTGATCATCGTATGGTGGACATCCTCTTTCTGCTCCTTAAGGAACTCGTAAGAAACGGAGTTCAGCGTGTAACTTCGCAAGTGATAGTCTCTTTGGACCAACTGCAGAAGATCGAGCTGAATCCTTCCGTTAGTGTTTGTTGCCTTCGTGTCTCGATTACCCATCTGCTTGCTGGAAAAGTTTGTGGACGTCGCCTGCGACGCCATGCCCTTCAGACGTGTCCAGTATGGGAATCCAGTGCATTTGAGATGCTTTGCCCGGTCCAAGAGATAGGGAAAATCGAAGTTGGCGATGTTATATCCGATGATCACATCGGGATCGACCTTCTCAAGGAAGTCGCGCCAAGCCATCAGCATTTTCTCCTCTCTGTCGAATTCCAAGATCTGCGTGTTCACAATCAAACTACACGTATCCAGAACGAAAACATTCCGAATGAATGGTTTCGATTCTCCATAGCGGGTGACAACGTTTGCTATCTGGATGACGGGGTCATGATTCGGCTCCGGAAAGATGCCTTTGCGTCCGGCGCACTCGATATCGAAGGACAGGATGCGAAGAGGCGCCATCTTAGCCCATTCACCATTGGGCGGGTGAGAGATCAGGTCACGATAATCGATAACGGCTTCAATCTGACAGTTTGATAATTTCTCCCGAGGGCTGAGCAGGCGGTATTTTCCGGCTTTTGCCTCCACCCATGACATACCAGCAATGTCCGTGTCAATCATGAATCTGAGAAGGTACTGGATATTGTCGAATGTGAGAATACCAGCATCAGCGTTACTCCACAAGCCCTTGTAATTCAAGCCTTGCGCATTGTTCTCCAGCGCACTTCGGACCTTGCTGATGAACTTCGGTTCCGTGACGGTAATCTTCAGATAATAACTCTTCTGATTTCCTTGAAATCCATAAATGTTCTCTCTCATTGTTATTTGAACCGACTGAATGACTGGTTGAAATTGTCCTAGTTTACTCTCGAGAAAGGCACGATAGGGATCACAATCTTCCTTGGTGAAGTTCACTGGCGCCGCGATATAGAGGTAGTGCTGAAACCCGGTGACGTGGAGCAAAACTGATTGCCCGGCCTGCATCAAAACCATTAGCAAACCAAGCCGACTGGCAGTGAGGGAACAAATCTACCTCTGTAACACCGAAAAGTCTAACAGCTGTCTTTCCGCCGGTAATCGTTCCCTCTTCTGCATCAATCTGCTGAAAGCAGATGTTATCTTTGGTCTCATCAAAGTCCCCCAAAGGTGGCCGCTCCCATTGTTGGTCCTTTTCCGAGTTGCTATCTTTCAGTCCGTTGATGTCCTGGGTCAACTTTTCCAGAACTTCCTCTTCGAATTGGCTCTTCTGGGGCTGACTTGAGCCGAAGGATTTCCGCAGGCCATTCTGCGATAATGGATTAACTGTGGCAGAGAGTTGTGCATCGAGCTTTCGTTTCTTCACTGTGCCGGGGGTGTTCGGTACGCTGCGAGGATTATTCGTTGCATCACCCAGAACCCGCTTCTGGGGCATTGCGACGGCTTCAGGCATGGTGGCGGATCATACACGAAGTCTCGTAATTCTGTTGATGGGGAAAAGGGCCGTCAATACGAGAAAGAAACAGGGGTCAAAGGGCTTTAGAAAGTCGCATAGATGGAAATGTTATCGGCGGACAATGCGCTCCCCGATTCGGGAAGTCGTGTCCTGGTCGCGCCTCGAACGTGACGCTCTTTACGCGTGTATCAGATCACGTGCCTGACGTCGCGCCTCTTCCTACACCAACTGACGGGACTCTATTTTGCTTAAATTACTGGAAGCAAAGTAAAAGAAGTCGGGCTTTATCAAAGACAATCTCCAAACGATGCACCAGATGGAATATTATTGATTTTCTGGGCACTATCTTGAGGAATCGGTCGCAGCTTGCCTGCTTAAATGTCGGGTTGGAAAGCCAACTTGAGGTTTCTCTGATTGCAGAGCATATCTAGGGAATATAGGTACATCGTGATCAATGAAATTTCGACAATTTGGATTCAACATGCAGCCCCTGTCGCGGAGTACTCTCTATCGCGATCACCTGTTCTCATGAGTCGTATAGATGCTGTTATACCCTGCCAGCGACTCCTCCTTCAAAGCTTGCATCTCCTTACCCTGGAACCGGTTCGGGTCCAGTGCTTTCTTCAGGGACTCGTCAACTTCTTCACCCTGAATCATCTTGGTCAAGAATTTAGCTGACCCAGCCGCATGAGTGACCCACACTGCAGCCGCCATATAAAGACCCTTGATTGACGAGATCGTGCCGACCAAAGGCAGATTGTCCGGGGTCATGGAGAAGATACCATTGAATTTCTCCTTGATGGTCAAATTCGTCTCAGCAGGGATCAAACTGCGGGCTCGCTCCAGTGTTGCGTCGAATGCGTCGACCCAGTCACCAACCGCAGTCTCATTGGGCTTGTGATAGAGCGGCTTGTGATCATAAGAACCAAGTCCATAGGCTGTGCCATGATCACGGGCATACACTTGGAATTCAGGCCATCGAACAAACGGTGACTTGCGGGCTTTTGGCTCGCGCTGTTCTCCATACATGTATGGATGCGCAACAGGAATGACCGGAATCGGCACACCAAAGTCACAGAGTTTCTCTGACCAGATACCAGTGGCGATAACCACCTTTTCTGCTTTGACTAGTCCAGATGTAGTTAGGACACCGTTCACACTGCCATCTTCCTGAATAATTTCCTTGACATCTGTTTCTAGGAAGTGAACGCTATTTTCGCGCGCCTGGTCTTGGAAAAATGAAGTGATTTTAACAGCATTTGCGGCCCCATCGCTTGCGAAGTGCAATGCAGTCAAGATGTCGTTCTTGACAAGATCAGGAGCCAGTTTAGTTGCCTGCTCAGGAGACAGCAGTTCGGCAGGCAGGCCAACCTTCTTCGCCATGTCGTATCTGACCTTCAATTTTTCGACGCCCTCGGGAGCGGTAGCGACTTCAAGCCCTCCGATGCTCTCGAAAGCACCGGGAATCTTCTTGTATTCACTGACAGTGTCCACTGCTAGGCGTGTAAGAGCCTCCGATTCGTTGTACTGACCAATGAATCCAGGCGCATACCCAGTTGAACCTTTCAACTGAGAGAACGAGCGATCGATGAGGACGACTCCATTGCCATTCTCCAATGACTCTGATAGAAAGTAAGCCAGGGCTGACCCAACGTTACCACCGCCGACAATAGCTATTTTGAATGATGCTTCCGAGGAATCCATCCTTGCTCAGGGTATCTTCAAGACCTAAGGGATAAATGACACTTTCTGTACCATCTATCCACGGGGTCTCAACGGGGAGTCTGCCTCATTTTATATTCATTCATGGTGGGGTTCGACGAAGTAGCGTCATGAATACGAGCTATACATAGAAAGGGTTCGACGCCGACAATAATGAGTACCACAAATACGCGTGTTTCCGACGGCAATACCGAGAGTGAGTCGAGTATGAGTAGATCCTGATACCGCTATCGCCGCTTCGATAAGTCAACTTATAAAATATGCCATCAGGAATGGCCCTATTGTACTCCGTAGTCTGTTTTAATCAGAGGCATTGTGGCCTGGCGGCCTGAGGCAGAAAATGCGTCACTCCAAGTTGAAAGTCCGAAGTTCGGCCAAGAATGAGAACACGTCTTTTTCGACGTCAACGGCTCGAATTTTTGGGAAGCGATGCATACTTTTTAGCGAGTTAATGGTTCATTCACAATGCTAGACCAATATGTCGGATGCCTAGAGGAAAGTTTGACCCACTAATGTCGAATTCACACGCCCTTTCTCTGGCATCTGGCTTTAGAATCTGATGGAAGCCTGTGAGAATTGACAGCCTGGTCAAAAGCCATCCCCAAAAGAGGGGAATATTTACCACATAATTTACCAAGTGAACCCGGGACCATAGCTTCGGAAAAGCCCATTGAAGGAGCTGAAACTGGTCTTTCTTACTCCGTCGACCAATTGGCGTTGAGTAAACAATCCTAGCAAGTCTATACCGCGAGTCATTAATCATACACGATATACATTCGTGCCTACTCTCACAATCCAGACCTCTGGTACATTGCTACGCTGCCTATTGACCCACTGCTACATGAGGCAGGTCATCTGTGCTGGCATGGCTCCCTTGTGGCCGTGAAATCAACCCCCTAGGCATTGCGACTGATCGTGCCCCCCAAAATGTCTATGTTCAGACCAGCTTCGGAGATCTCGTCCTCGGAGTCTCAATCCAGCTCCGATGAAAGCGACCATGGACTGCTTTCAACAGCCTCAGGGAAGACCCGGGGCGAGTCTCATTCCGGGAATTGTACACGGACTGCATCCCTCGATAGGGAGTCTGACACTGAAAACATCTCTGAAGCATCAATGGACGTCCTTGATGTTGAAGCTCAGGGTCATACAGCATGGATGACCTCCGCCTTGCTCGAGTTTTACTGCCTCAGCAAAGCAACAGACATCCTCAATGCCAGGGAAGGCTCTCAGATGCGGTACACTCGGGACTCTCCGGAAGTACAGCATCTGGCCAAAAAGATGTATGCCCATCAATCGCAGCTGCTATCGACACATGGAATGTTACCTGGAGGCATTGAGAGCGACGAATGGGGAGAAAGAAGACAGAAGTATCGCGAAACCCTTGATGGACTTGGCCTGCAGGCCCTCAAAGGGCTAAACTTAGACGATAGCCCTAAGCAGACGCCGTCTCTCGGCACAACAAAAGATGTCGTTTTGGCTTCCAAAGCCTCAAACCAGATGCAAGTTCATGTAGAGACGGATTTTGCAAGACCTGCGCAAATGAGGCGTCAATACAGCGGACTGTTGGGGTTCAGAGAGCAAGTTGCCGGAAGAGACGACGCGCACGCGCCAGAGCATCAGCCGTTCGCCCTCTTGGGTAGTTCGCCTGTGAGCTTCCCGTTATTCAGGCCCAATCCGCCACCACCGACTCCAGCTATATCTCGTTATGCTACCGAATTCTCAGAAGTGAGAGTCCTCGGCCGCGGATCATTTGGCGAAGTCTATCATGTGAAGAATCATATTGACGGGCAGAACTACGCAATTAAGAAGATTCCGCTGAGTCAGAGGCGGCTTCAGCAGTTGCAAGGCGGCAATCAAAATCAACTAGAAAGTATCATGAAAGAGATACGAACGCTTGCTCGACTGGAGCATACCAATGTTGTCCGATACTATGGTGCGTGGGTGGAACAGGCTCATATATCTGACCTTCTTCACTCAAGGAATATGAGTGCAATGGAGTTTCAGCACGAGGAGAGCCACGGCCTGTGCGTGACTCGAGAATCAAACGACGAGCAAAGTTTCGGAGTGGTATTCGAACATTCGGAAGTTTCTGCAGTTGAGGCACGCTCAAGTTCTGCGTCTGCTGAATCCGAAGCCGATGCTCCTCATCATTCGCGACGTCGCTGCAGCCATGCTACGTCGTCGTCGCGCTTCTCAAAGAATAGCTTAGCAAGGAGTCTTGAGGACGATGAGGAGGTCGAGTCGATCCCTCGCGATTTCAATTTTGCGTCTCACGGTCAGCTGTCGACGTTTGGAGGCACCGATGATGATATCTTCACCGACGGGCTCAGTTACGATGCGTCCAAGCTGCAGATCCAACGAAGGCGTCAAAATGGGTCTCAGCTTCCTGCTGTTGTTCTTCATATTCAAATGTCTCTGCATCCTATCTCACTGAACGCTTATCTCAGTCCGCACTCTTTGGGTCCCACAGAACATAGCCATGCGTCTTCACGGCGTCACTGCTTCCATTTGATACCATCGTTGAGATTAATGCTACGTATAATCTCTGGGGTGGAATATCTGCACGCCAAAGGCATAATTCATCGTGATCTGAAGCCGGCAAATATCTTCCTCTCACCGTCCGATAATGGCAAAATCGATGGGTGCCCTTCCTGCATGGGGAGTTACGGGTCCACACCTGATTACTGTCATCCCAGAATAGGAGACTTTGGTCTTGTCGCAGATGTATCGCATCTGAACGACTGTCCTACCCCCTCTTTTGAGGAGGGTCCAAAGCTCGAGCGTGTCGTTGGCACGGAGTTCTACCGCCCACCCTTGAGCACTAATGGAGAGAAACACTCTAAGGGCATGTTCCAAACCGGGGTTCATCAATTCAATTACATCATCGACGAGACCCTTGATGTTTACGCTCTTGGAGTCATACTTTTTGAGCTTCTTTATCGTCTGAACACTAAGATGGAACGACAAATGGTTCTGACCGACTTAACAAAAGGCACGAATCGTCAGTCACCGGCCAGAATTTGCATTAGAAACACTGTATTCCCAGCAGACTTTGCACAGAAACTCGACATGGGGTCGAACATACTAGAGGATGGTGTGTCTGTGGCCGACTCGTTGATGAGGTGTATCAGCGGCATGCTAGAGCCCAACCCGCATCGACGCTTGCGCTGTGCGGATATTAGGAAAGCTCTGGAAGATATTCTGGATGCTGCTGCCACGCAGGATCCTTCCTGTTGTTGATGCTATTGAGCAAAATTTGGTCGAAAATATTTTATCCGCACTATGCTCGAGCCTACAGCCGCCTTGATGTAAGGAGCAATGGAATAGAGGTGAACATAATTAAAATTATGACCCCTGTATAATATAGATATGTATCTTGTGTCCATCTGGGGAGTCTGGACTAATGCTACAACTCCTCTCTACTCATCTTTAATAAATCTGAGTCAATGACGAACAATGAAATGAAGACATATTATTCACACTAAGTCGGACCTGGAGAAACATACATAATCCTCTTTATCATAGGCGAGCTTCGGGCCTCGGTTTCATGGGATTTCTAAATGCATTTCAGGTTCACAAGCCGTCTTCCCCGCATAATACAGGGATCCCCCGAGCTCCTCCCGGCAAGATATGTAACATTATATTTACATAAAATGGATAAGATAAAGCTTCATCACCTCTTGAATTCAGTTTGAAGTCAACATCTATACCTCCTTCTCTCTCCTTCCCTTAACCCTTATCCCAATTGTCAGAAAAAATGCCTCGTAAAGATCGCCCCCCAACAGCTCCCTACAGCGAACCCCTTCTTCCCCAACTAGACATCAAAAACCCCTACTACACAGACCTCCACCACGAACTCCGTGCCTACGTCCGCAACTACGTAGAAACATCCATCGCCCCTCACGCCCAACAATGGGAAACAGCGGGTCAAGTCCCCGAGGAAGTCCGACGACGCCATTGCGAACTGGGGTTCGGAATCGTCCATCCTCTAACCTCTGAAGAAGACGCGGCAGGTATTCCATTACCCGGTAACGTGCCCCGTGAGAAATGGGATACATGGTGCAGCCTCATTGTTACGGACGAGCTTACCCGGGTCGGATTTGTGGGCGTTATATGGGGCCTGGGGGGTGGAAATAGTATTGGGTGTCCGCCTATCGCCAGGTTCGGGACAACGGAGCAGAGGCGAAGATGGTTGCCTAAGGTTGCGAGGGGGGATATCAGGTTTTGCTTAGGGATTACAGAACCTGATGGTACGAGTTTGAATTCTTCCTTCGTTTAGGGGGGGATAGTCTGGCTGACGGGATACTAGCTGGTTCGGATGTTGCGAATATCCAGACGACTGCAAGATTAGATGGTGATCATTACATTGTCAATGGGGCGAAGAAATGGATCACGAATGGTATTTGGGCTGATTATTGCACTGCTGCTGTGAGGACGGGGGGACCGGGGAGAGGCGGCATCAGTCTGCTTGTGATTCCTTTGACTGCGCCTGGGGTGACTCGCCGGCGGATGCACAATTCAGGCGTCAATGCCAGTGGTATGGCCTCCTGCATAAAAACTCCCATGAATGATGCATGGCAGCTGATCGGTCAACTAGGGTCGACGTTCATTGAATTCGACGATGTTCGGGTGCCGGTTGATAATCTAATCGGAAAAGAAAACAAAGGCTTCCCCATCATTATGTCGAGTGAGTACGCTTCCCAGGAAGATATCCAGGTACTGATATTGTCAAGATTTTAACCCCGAGCGTCTTACTCTTGCATGCGCGGCTTTGCGGTTGGCTCGTGTCTGCGCAGAGGATGCCTTCCACTACGCAGTGCAGCGAGAGACCTTCGGCGCGCCTCTCATTCAAAGACAGGCAATACAATCCAAGGTCTTCAAGTTCGGCCTCATGATCGAGCCCGCGTATGCATTTATGGAGCAGCTCGTCAACATCATCGAGCTCACTAAAGATCGGCCCGCTGACGACGTGAAGATTGGTGGCATGACGGCCTTGCTCAAGGTGATGTCTACCAGAGCTCTTGAGAAGAGTGTCCGTGAAGCGCAGCAGATCCTGGGAGGCGCTGGGTATAATAAGTCCGGAAAGGGAGCACGAATTGAGCAGATTTCCCGCGACGTGCGAGTTCATGTAGTTGGGGGTGGTAGCGAGGAAATTATGATGGGTCTCGCTTTACAGGAGGAGACCAAAGCCCTTAAGACGCGGAGGCAGGCTCTTGAGAAACGGTCGAAGCTTTAGGATGGTTACTCGGTGCAGATATTCCTGTTTCCTCTGTCAGATGTTCAAAACTCACTACAGCTCAACGATTTAACTAGCTATAAAAACCATATCCAATGCTGGCAAGGTCCGTGTCAGCTAAATCCTAACGTATTTGGCAAATCCCATCACTAAGAAGTGAGGTCGACACCCAAGAAAGAAGTCTGAGGGCAATGTAAGTCTTCCGAGCACGAGCGCAGGGGTTCAAACTAGCTCCCAAGGGTTGATCGATTGACGCTTTTCCTCCAGCTGTTGCACTCTCCTATGAAGTATGTTGAGGTGGGCAACGATGTCTTTGATCGCCTGCTTAAGCAAAGGCAAGTCGTTGATAGTTTCTGGTCCGAGAGGAAACGGAACAACCTTGCCATCGAGACGTGACCTCGGAGCCGGTGTCTGACTGTCAGATTCCTTTACCTGTTCCGGGACATTCGTCTGAGTATCCTCCTGGACAGGGGCAGCTTGTTCTTCGTCCTTCTGCACTTCCTCCGCTACACTGCTAGCGGTAGTATCCGTCAACGAATCTTTGGAACTGAGCGATGAATCTATAGATTCATGGTCTTTGAGTGCCCCTGGTGCAATTGTTAACAAAGTGAAGCAATGTCAGGATGAAGCTTACGGTTTCAACACACGGAGGTCACAGTTGTATCTCCTACTGAACCGACAATTCGCGCATGCTCCGGCAAGCTTCGAGTTCTCATCTTGGTTAGGTTCAACGACACACATTCGCCAAGTGCCTTTATTGTCTTTGCAGAAGCTGCACGGATCAACCGCCTCAGTGCCGCGGGTTTGCATCAACGCAGCCGTCAATGCCGTGCTGTCTCTCAGTGGTCTGCGTATAGGTTGGCCGTCTCCGTCTATCTGCCAGTCCAAAACGCGAATAGCAGGCAGTTTCTGGTATCGCTTCTGCGCCTCATTTGGGTTATCTCCCGCAATGGGCAGGTCGGACGCGTCTACCCCCGTAATGAGCTCGTCCCTTTCTGAAAAATGTGATGTCAGCCTCTTCAAAAAGAACTGACGAAAGAATCCCAAACTCATCCCATCCGGAGAGCCCAACGATGCTTCACCTTTGCCACGGCGACGAGGCCGGTATGGTCCTTCTTTCTCGCTTTCTGATTCTGGGCGCGGTCGTTTAGGTGTAGCTATTCCGAACATGCGAAAGATTTTGGGAGCTGTCGGACTCAAGAGGTCATGGTACTCTTCCTGCTTTGTTATTTTCCTCATCCTGTGCCGCAGACTAAAAAGTGGCAAGGATATGAAACTCGTGAGATATTGGAAGGTGATGGGAAACGCCGTGCAGTGGGCACCAGCTTGTATACAAAGCAATGTTGCCGCGGCGTCAAGAGTGAGAATGACCAAAATAAACGCACAACCACATCCATAATGTAATATGTTCGTTGAATGAGGAATATAGGTAGCATTCCACCTCTCTTCATGTTCATGTCTCTGAAAGAGCTATGATAAGTAATCCATCTGTTCTATGCCCTATCTGCTCGTTCTTCCGAGGAAAGTTTGGCCTTCTATTGAATAGAGGGCCAAACTGAATGCTTTAATTACGAAAGTAAGCAGACCTGATTATACATGCACTTTGAATTATTTCCTGATTTTGCATCTTGCTACTCAGAAGAGAAGCATTTCACAAGACCCTACATCAGCTAATAGCACACTTAGGCCGCCCTAGTCTGTCTGTGTATAAATTAGTAGCTTCCAGCAGCAAAGTAGGGGAGGAAGGATTACAAGAGACGCAAGAGCCTGGTTAATGTCTTCGTCTATACCCTATAATTTCAGCACTTGATCAATTGATCAGATGTGAGTGTCTGTATAGATTGAGAATATATATTCAGAGATCTCTAGAGTCATTATAGCATGATTGATCTTGCACAGCCATTTTCGACACTCAGTTAGCCTCATATGATTGAGATTCGCTTCCCTATGTAAAATATCCGGTGAAGTTTCACAACTGAGTAATTAAGCAGACTCATTCTACTGTAACGTCAATATCTCTGGTAAGGTGTGGCTGATGATTGATTGATACCCCAGAAATAGTTAGTTATATATGGTGGCCGTTACGTCATGCGGGGAAGGCTCTGTACTGTAATGGAGCTGTATTGTATGGTAAGATTGCCCCCTGCTGTAATAATGATACCGGGCCCTATTATTCGTGTTCTAAACACCGATAAGCTGTATGCTAGGAACAACTTCCCAACTCGGTGGCAGATTCGACGACTCTTCTGCTGCCCCATGAATACTACATCTGAATAGCTGGAGCAGGATCCTCCAAGCCTCAATCATGAAAATGGAGAGCTTCGATGATGCGCCACGCCCGGTGGAGTTCGTCGAAGAAAATGCTGCTCTACCTAACGAGTATCCCTCAAGAGCTCCATCACAAGCAGACTACCGCACCCCAAGTTTTGCGTCTGACTTGAGCTCTACTATTGCAGAGGGATCCTTCACGTCCAACGGGACCTTGAAAGGAACTGAAGATCAGGTAGATACCACGCAGCGAAGACTTACCGATCAAGAAGATGTCTTCAAACCTCCGCGGACCGCCTCTCCTTTCCCTCCCATGCCATTCAGCCCGCCTCCAGCAGCCGAGATTAGCGAAAACGGACATGACGAAGAGGATGAGGAGCCTCATGTTGCGACATCCTTCGAGCGTGATTCGTCACCGGCCTTAGCGCAGAAGCACCGATCGGCATTTTTCGATCTCGGCGAAGAGAGCATCAACCGCATGCACAAGATCTCATTGTATGAGACGGCAACTCGATTCTATATGGTGGGCATGGATCTGTCAGACACGCGGTTCCGCATTTTGAAAATCGACCGTACGTCAGACACGAATGATTTGGTTATCGTCGAGGACGACATTGTGTACACAAAGAGTGAAATGAGCCAGTTGCTGGACGCGATTGACGATGGGAATAAGATCTCCGGCGGGCTAAAGCTCAGATGCAGTGCATGGGCCTTGCTTGGCTTTATTCGCTTCACGGGCGCATATTACATGCTTCTGGTGACGAAGAGGTCGCAGGTTGCTATGGTGGGCGGTCACTATATCTACAAGATCGATGGGACGGAACTCATTTCGTTGACAACCTCGAGCTCCTCGAAGCTGAAGCCGGAAAAGAACCCCGAAGAGGCACGGTATATTACAATCCTTAATAATCTTGACCTGAGTCGGTCATTCTACTTCAGCTACTCATACGACATCACGCGCACCCTGCAACACAACATTTGCCGTGAACGCAAACTTCATCAAGACGGGTACTCGAAAGGCTTCCATCAAGATTACAATACGATGTTTATATGGAACCATCATCTTCTCAGTCCCGCAATCGCAGCCCTGAAGAACCCTTATCAATGGTGTCTCCCTATCATTCATGGTTATGTGGACCAGGCCAAGATTGATGTGTATGGGCGGCTGGCGTACTTGACCATTATTGCCCGCCGATCTCGATTCTTTGCCGGGGCTCGCTTCTTGAAACGAGGTGCTAATGATCTGGGATACGTCGCCAACGATGTTGAGACGGAGCAGATCGTTTCTGAAATGTCCGAAACTTCATTCCATGCTCCCGGTCCTGCTCTGTACGCCAACCCTCTGTACACATCATACGTCCAGCATCGGGGTAGTATCCCTCTTTACTGGACACAGGAGAACTCAGGAGTATCTCCCAAACCTGATATCGAGCTGAATCTTGTGGATCCTTTCTACTCAGCTGCGGCCCTCCATTTTGACAATTTATTCGAGAGATACGGTGCCCCAATCTACGCTTTGAATCTGATCAAGTCTAGGGAGCGGACGCCACGCGAGTCAAAGCTTCTGAAAGAGTATACAAACGCCATCAACTACTTGAACCAATTTCTTCCTGAAGATAAGAAGATCATTTACAAACCATGGGACATGAGCCGCGCTGCTAAAAGTCGCGACCAGGATGTGGTAGGGACACTGGAGGAGATCGCAGGCGAAATCATCCCGAAGACTGGTTTCTTCAAGAATGGTTATGACGCAGATTCTGGCTTGCAGCTCCAGAATGGGATTGCTCGGACGAATTGCATCGATTGTCTTGATCGTACAAATGCTGCCCAGTTCGTGATCGCAAAACGAGCCCTTGGTTATCAGCTTCATGCCCTCGGGTTCATTGATGGCACCACTTTGGAGTACGACTGCGACGCAGTCAACCTCTTTTCCACTATGTGGCACGATCACGGTGACACAATTGCCATTCAGTACGGCGGTTCGCACCTGGTCAATACCATGGCTACATATCGCAAGATCAACCAGTGGACCAGCCATTCTCGAGACATGGTGGAGAGTTTCAAGAGATACTACAACAATTCGTTCCTTGATGCGCAGCGTCAGGAAGCTTACAACTTGTTCCTTGGTAACTATATTTTTACCCAAGGTCAACCGATGCTGTGGGACCTGTCCACCGACTACTACCTGCATCATGCCAGTCCCAAATCTTGGGCTGAGAAGAGGCGACCCAATTATATCAACTGGTACACCCCTGAGAATCTGAAGAAGCGTGAACTGCCACCTCCTCCATCGCGCCCGAAGGAGCCTCTGTCGCGATTTGATGATTATTGGCTGGAGTATTACAGACCTTTGGCTGTCTCGACTCTCCCAAAGATCTTCTCGTTCAAAATGAAGTCAACGTTCCACTACGTCCCGCACCACTTCAGCCCATTCGATGTGCGAATTGCTCACGAGCAAGCCAATCGTGAGAGGCATCCGCAACGAAGTGTGAGAATACAGGAGCCAGGAAGCAGCGTCATTGAGCACTCGAGGCGCTCACCCATGCACAGCACGCCACAGAACCCCAATTCTACGCAGAAGTGGTTGCAACAGCCGGACTCGACACAACCTTCCGCAAAGTATACTAAAGACTCCATATATGAACTCTCTGTATCCAGTAGCCAAATACCATCCATGCAGACATCGACGGATTCGGCTACACCCAGCAAAGCACAAATTGCTCAATGGACACTCGGCCAGCTAGTGAACGACTCGCTAAATCCGTCCGTCACTGCCGCAGAGGCCGAAGAATACGAGCGGTACATCAACCACCCGCTGAACGTTCCTCTCGTTGTGACATCTGAAGATGAGATCACCGCAGCTTCTGCTCAGCATGAGTCGAACTTGGACCTACTGGAATACGCTAATAAATGCAATGTTGAAGAGGCCATACTCGAAGCTAATGCCGAGGAGAACCTAGCGGATTATGCCGAGTTTCTTACCGTATCAGAGGAAGGACTCACAGTCGTTGCAGAGGACTATGAGAAGAAACGCTATAAGCGGTACCGGCAGTGGCTGCGGGGAAAGAGTCTTTTCAAGCAACGGGTCGATATATAATCCGGTTACTGCTCTTAGTCTATGATGAATTATGTTTTAATGATACCCAGGATTGTCGTTAATGTGTCTAAATTTGAGCATAGCTCACGTTGTGGAGCGAACGAAGCATATTACTCATGTGTGTCCACCACAGCTCTATTGCCATCAAAAGAGGTGTAAATTAGACAGTTACGGATCTATCCCGAAAAAGTCCGCATCATTAGGATCAATATCCGCAAGAAGCAAGTCCGCAAGAGACTCATCAGCGTCAACTAGTTCCTGCAATTCCTTCCGAATAGCAGCCTTCGCTTCCAGCTGGCCGGCGTCTCCGTCCGCCTGCGCTGGGTTCTCCAGCGCAAACCTCAACAAGTACACCGCGCCCCGCAGCTGCCTCTCCAGCTTGGTCAGCGCGGTATTCGTCTCCTGGTCCTCGGCAGCACTCCGCCCCTTGACAACCCGTTCGGCGATTTCACCTTCTTCCTCGGCTACACGCAGCCAACACGAGCAGAGCGCGCCGAGGATCTCACCGCGCCATCGCCACAGGCGCGGATGCGCGTTCAGAATCATTGCTCGTGTTACGGCCACCGCCGAAAGGAGAAGAGGCGGGTATGCTGTTCCGAAAGGGTTTGACAGCGTACTGTACAGCAGGGGGACGATCTCCTGGAGGTACTTTGTCGTGTGGATGCCTAGCTCCAGGAGGAGAGGGTACATCTGGTCGACGAGCAGGGCCGAGAGACGCGGGTATGGGAACGAGGCGAACGAGGAGGTTGAGGTCCTGTTTGTTGAACTGATGTGGTGGAATGAGGAGATGAGATTCTCTCGGAGAGTTCTCGTCACGCTGGAGATATACTTGTCTCCGTTTACGTTTGCGGCTGATCTTGCGGTGGCGGTGTGGTAGTTTGTTTGTAGGAGGGAGAGCAGAGCTGGGTAGGCTACCCCGAGCAATTTAATGGCGTCATCTTCGGGTGTGATCGATGGTAATGACAGGAGACATGGTCTGACGGCGTCCTCGAAGACAGACGCCAGGTTTGTCCTCTGGAGGATGTCAGATTTGCTTTCCCGGATTGGTGTGAGGAGTTTGGTCAAGAGAAGGCAGCCGCGTGTCTTGTAGGTGACGCTGTCGTCGTCTATCAGGGCGAGAATTGGTGGGACGAGTAGTGGAAAGTGGGCTTCTAGATAGGGTCGATCCTTTGCCTGTATCATAACAGTCAGCAATACGACCTAGAGCTGGGGTTGAGAAGCATACCTGGTACTGCGCGATCACCCAGGCTAGCACTGTAGTAGCGTATACAGCACTGATCTTCCACGGCTTCGTCGCCGGATCGATGATGCTGGCATCAAATCGCGGTAGGGGAACAGGATGAAAGTTCTTTCTGCCCGCGGCAGTAATCGCAGGGTTTTTCGTCTTCGCGAATACCGGCTTGATTCTCTCTTTGAGGATCCTTTCAATGAGAGACCAGAAGAAGCTATCTGACTCGCCATGGACATTTGTAACAAAGGTCTCTAGGATTTTCCTTGATTTCATATAACTGTCTTGTGTCGTCCAGGAATCTTGCTCAGACGTGAAACTCGCCAGCGCTGTGATAGCATCCATCGCGTGCGCCGATTTCTGAATCGGCAGCAGAGAATCCAGCGCAACAAGGACAGATACAGCAAGTTCCAGCTGAAACTTATTCCCACGGATCATTTCAGACTTGTCGCCTATATGGCGTCAACATTCCGCACCATTGACGGAGAGGAAAGGTCTGCGACTTACTATCATCGGTTCCTACCTTTGCCGTTGCGAAGGCTGCAGACGGAAGCGCAAGCTCGCTGGCCCACTGATATAGATTATTGCCAGCATTTTCGTCAGTTTCCGATAAGCTCTTCGAGCTCTGGCGTGTCAAAAATGCTTGAGCGACAAGAAGATTCTCGCATGTCTACGTCGACGTCATCAGTGCTTGAACGACCCGGTGCTCAAGGGGACTCTTCTTACGGTTGGTGTGTTCTTGGCTTGATAGGATGATATATTGTGCCATAACAGATCTAGGTCTTCAGGAACGTTTATGCTGTCTAAACGCGCCTGTGGGATTATACTAGAGTCTCGTCGCTGGAGGGTCTCACGTGCCGCTGTGTGGAGCTCTTCCATCTCAGTAGCTCAAATCACGGTGGTACACAGCTTTAGTAATTCTCAGCTCGTTTAGAAAGAAAGGTCATGAGGTGTGGGAGGATGGAGGAGAATATTTTCTTCTATAGCTGGGGGTGGTCTGTCGGATAACGATTACAATCAGCGAGAGAAATTTGCGGAAAGGAAAAAAGTGGTCATGTCATGGTTCTTGGGAGCGATAATATGTCTTTTCTTTGGGTCTCAGCAACAACTACAGACCTAACTCATCCTTTCTATCTATCAAATATTTGAGGGCCTTTTCCTTCTCCGTAATTTCAGGGTGTAGAAGCTGCCACTTAAACACCATATCCAATGCTTTGCTCATCCAAGGCCCATTCTTCGCCTCTAGAGCCTTCATAATATCGCCCCCATTCACGATAGGCTTCATTTCACACACGCCTTGCAGGTCGTTCTGAATAATGTATGATATAAATCTGTCATATTCTTGGATAACTGCTAGTCGAGCACAAGTCAGTGCCTCAAATTCAATCAAAAGTATCAGGTGTCATGTGTATCTTTTTCTCACCTGGCAGGAGCTCTCCTCCTCTCATGACCTCCTGCAGAATAGCCAAGACGATGCAGAGTCTCCAATCCTTCTTCCAGCTCTTGATGTACAAGCCGATTTGTTGCCGTACTTCGGGAGCTGTTCCCTTCATGCGGCCCTCCAGGAGCGAAGACTTGACATCAATAATGGACCTCCAACTGGCAGCCGCATCACCGAGAACGCTGATCATCTTATTATCAGAACGCAGGCTGTCTCTTGCCACCTCTGCCGCTCGAGGGGGGAAGGGTTTCGCTTTCGGGCCTTTTGCTACGCGCGGTGGCACGCTAGACCAGGGTGCTAATGCGGCAATCATCCATGCATGATACGACTCGAGTGGACTACGCATGAGGAAGTCGCGCACTTTCTCGAGTGCGGTCTTCGATGGCCCCTCAGGATGCAACAAGGATTCCAAAGCGTTGTAGGCTAGCGACCAAGTGGATGTATCAGCGCTGGCATCGTCTTGGTGATTGGCGAGGATAGTATGGTAGAGACCAAGTCGATCAATGAATCGCAGCGCGCCTCGAGGATCGGGTCCTGATCCAAAGTTAACATGCGGCTCTGTTTGAAACCTAACTGATATTGCAGACCTTTGAGCATCTTCTCCAACTCTGTCCCCACGCGTTCCCTACTGATCTTTAGTTTTAGTGCCGCACTAATATCACTGTTCTGCATCGCCCTTTCTGTGTTTGGATCGATTTGATAGCCCAGGCGACTGGCGAACCGTATCAGTCTTAGCACACGTAAAGGGTCGTCTTTGAAGGTCTGGTATGGCTCCAATGGAGTTCGGATAATCTTGTCCCTCATGTCTGAAAACCCCCGTCCAGTCAAATCTTCCACCTTGGATTCGTTCAAATTGTAGAAAAGAGCATTAATCGTTGCATCGCGACGCAAAGCATCTTCTTCGGCGGTGCCGTACTCCATTTGTGGGTTCCGGCTATCATCCGTGTACGTCTCCTTTCGAAGATTAACCAGATCGATATCCAAGCCGAAGATCTTGGTTGTTACGGTTTCCAGGTGTTTGGACTTTTCCGGATTTGCTTCAATTTTGTGCAGGCTGACGATAGCCTCCTTCATCTCTCCATTAGGGTGGTTGCGCTTGTACTTTTCCAAATTTTCAGGAATGTCTAGGTAATCTTTGAGGGCCATGCCAAACTGGTAACCAGTCATGGAGCTGATTCCTACATCGATATCATGACTGTCGACTCCAAGCAGCTTGTCCCTCACCCATCCTCCTGTGAATCGAAGCACCATGTGTGGGGTATCCGCCTCGCTCGCGCCGGCAGCGATTGCTCGTTCTCGTATGTACTTGGCGACATCAAGGAGTAGTTCTTTCAATGTGTTCTCGAGGGGTGTAAGCTGTATCGTGGCCAGCGGCTGAGGTGTCTGGGAGGAAGTTTGCGCCACCGTCGCCATTGTGTCGGAGGCACCCTCGTGCGGGGCAGTCGCGGATATGCGTCTTCTCTTGGGTGCTCTTCCTTGGGGGAGGTTCGAACTTTCTTGATGGCGCATAGAAGGTCCGCCAGTGTTCAGTCCAAAGGTTCGTGATAAGGACGTTGGATACGCGGCTGGTGCGCAGTTCCTCAAATGTCGCAGGGGTACGCTTGCCGACCTGGTTGGAGTAGGAAGCAAAAAAAGAGATGGGCGCAATAAGGAATGACGTTCAAGCAGGAAGCGCAGAGCTGGGGTATTCGACATCGACACAAGCCATGCAATGAGTATTATACTTCTGTCATGAGTGCACAGTATGTGTGACTCAATCAACATGCGTAGGAGTCATGAATGAATCATTCATTCCCCAGGATTGTGCTGTGACGATTGATTGGGCTGAAGATCACCACTACCGCCTTCTCCAACTTGACGGCGACCATAACATCCTATAACGTAAACTGGATTTGGAAGACTACATCAGATAAATCTCCGGGAGTATATTGTTTTATTGCGCTGCATAAGAATTATTGAATTTATACTCCGAGTAATTATCAGCCATTGGACGAGAAGCAGACGTTCCAGTCCCTTTGTCTGCCCTCCTCAGTTGTACCACGTTTTTGCCAGACCAGACTGCTTGGCCATTCCATCTTATCTTCCAATCCACTTCTCATTAGGTATCTATCTTAGGGGTTCTACTTGGTTCTCCAGTCTATCCGCCTTCGACGCCCTCTTTGCGCCCTCACTTCTCGGTCCATGGGCTCTAGGGTCTCCTTCACCTTTCTTTATCCTGATTTAGAAACAATTCGATGTCCATGACATCGCCCGGAGATGCTTCTCCGGTCAAACCTCCGCCGTCCTTTTCGCCCGGCGTGCCGCGTATCACAACAAAGACAAGATATCCAGACCAGCGTCGTGATTCCTCTTCGTCAATAGACCCAGACTCCCTTGAAGCCAGGAGAGGATTGTCACCGACGCCTCCTCTCTCCGCTACTACCTCGGAGCTTCCGATCCGTTCTGCGTCGCCGCACGGTCGGCCGCTTAGATCGTCAACTCCACAACTAGCCAGGTCGTCTCTGGGCTCACCGTTGGAGGGACACGTTGATGGTACGGAAGATATTCGATCACTGATCATACGGTCCTTTTCTCCTACTGTCGGAGTTTATGCGTCCGTAGATACCGATGATCTGGTGCGGGAGAAAGGTTTCAAAGGCGGCTTCTGGGAGTTGATCCGGCCATTCGGAGAAAGCATTCCTGGAAAAGTCGTTATTCGGGATAGCGTTGGATCGAGTCGTGGGTGGGAGGATTACGGAGTACGCTTTGTGGATCTGGGAGGTCGCCAGCAGTTTTTCGCCGGCCCCGACACTGGACAGAACTCTCTGGCACAGCTAGAGGATGTTTTGGACCGACAACTTGATTCGGCAGATGAATTATTGGGCGCTCCCCTGCGCCCGAAAGACCTCGCGAATTCCCTTGCAACTTCACCGTTATACAAGTTCTACCTGCGTCAGCTTTTGTCAACGGCGTCGGCAGCACCCCACGAGACTTTCCGCCACCCCGTAGCCAGTGTGATTGCCATTAGCTCACGCAATACGGCTCCATTAGAAACTCTTCGTCAGTTGTATGCAGATACAAGCAATGGAGACCGGAGGTTACCGGAGTGGGTGCATCCAGAGTATCTTCGTTACTATGTCCTCGTTCACGACGAGGACCGGGACGACATCGCCGAGTCAACCAAGCTCTATGATCAGATGAAGCGGCATTTTGGGCTGCATTGTCATTTACTAAGGCTACGCAGCATGCAGTGTGTTGTGACGGATGATGACAGTGCTCCAGTCCCTCAGTGCGAATGGCTCTCCCCGTCGGAGCATCTAGCAAGCCAGGACGGTATGTCGTTTATCCCGTACTCTCTTCAGTCCAGATATCTAATCGATGCCAGAACCGCTTGTTGAGCTTGACACCGAATATCGCCCATACCTCTTTGACTCGGACGCGATGGCTATCAGGGTTTTCGTTCGGGAGTTAGTCGCTCAGTCAATCATTCCGTACATGGAAAATAGAGTTGCCGTTTGGAATGATCAGGTGGCATCTCGAAGGCGCGGTATTAGTGGCCGTTTCATGTCGATGTCGCGGAAATGGGCAGGGTTCGGTTCTAGCTCGCGATCTGGCATTAATGGCTCCGGTGGTGGGAACTATGATTTTGTGCGCGGATTCTACAAACCGGACGCGCCTGAAGCGATATTGCGAAAGATGGCTGACTTTGCTTTTATGCTTCGTGACTGGAAGCTATCAGCGTCCACCTATGAGCTCCTACGTTCCGACTATACCAACGATAAGGCTTGGAGATATCATGCCGGTGCTCATGAGATGTGCGCAGTGAGCACGCTGCTGAACCCAATGGCCATGCCAGCAAAACCCAAACTCGAAGCCATCGATCAGATGTTGGAAACGGCTTGCTATTCCTACCTCACGAGGTGCTCTGATGCCCCCAACGCTCTGCGTTGTTTATGCTTAGCTATGGAACTGCTGAAGTCTCGTGGCGGGTTTGCAACTGAAAGCGCGGCTAAATGGGCCATGCGGGCCATGGACCTAGGCTTAGTCGGTGGGATAGGGCAGATCCTTTTCAGCGAAAGAATCTCGGCGTGTTATGCTTCTAGGCCGCCACTGACCGGAGTGAAATGGGGCGGCCGTCGCAGGAAGGCTGGGATGTGGAGCGTCCTTGCAGCTGACCTCTGGCTCAGGGTTGGGAAGCCAACTCTGGCGTCTTCTTGCCTTGAGGAAGCGGAACGCCTGTACGCTGACGTTCTTGACAGCGACGGAGTATTCCCCATGCCAGAGATGCAATCATTCGTTGATAATCTACGTCATACGGTGAAAGTCGAATATCTTGGTACTCGGGGCTTAGGCCCTCAGGAGGAAGTATCTGCGACCGAGCAGCTGGAACCTGAGGAAACAAGCGAAAAGCTGGACAAGCGCCAGAATCGGAAGTCTTTGATCGGCAACCCTCTGGATTCAGGCGGCCTTACTGCGCCGATGACGGGGGATAATGAAATTTCAGCGAATGACGACTTTGAACGAGCTTAAGATGCGTGAAGCGAGCCACACATGGCGTATATTATGACATATGGTAGCTATAGAATCTGGGCAACCACTTTAATTCAATCAAAAATATGATCTATTCATCTCCCATAGAACACTACAGCAGACCAAGGCATGTATAATCACGTGATGTTATCTTATCGATAGAGCGCTCTCCTCAGCAACGACAGAAGTGCGGGTGGTTTGTCTGTTGACATCAGCAACTCTAGATCAACTCGCCGACTACCAGCTTGGGGAGACTGGGTATGTCCACAGCGCAGCTTGACAGTGTGTCTTAATTCACATACTGCACAACACATCCGCAAGCAAAGCACAGAAGTGTATATAAGGGTCAAAAGCGGACAACTCAGAAGACCACAACTTGGAGAAGAGATAGCTTAAGCAACATGAGTGACCTCCTGAACTACATCCTCACACAAGAAGACTCCTTCAAAAAGTCTGTTACCACTTCCATCTCTAAACAGAAGTTGCCTGAAAGCGTGAAGCTGACTACTTGTTCCAGAAACCGCTTGCCCTCGCTTTACTCCGACTTCACCTTACAGAAGAAGACGAACCCCGACGGATATGCGGTGAACGTCGCTGCGTGGGAGCGGGCCCTGACGAGGGCCGCAAGGCGGGGCTGTATATCGACTTCTCCTTCTCGCGAACCGAGCTCGGCAACCGGTACAGCGATCCAAAGCGACCATCTGATATTGAGGACGGACGATTCACTGTTACGAGCTCTAGAAATACCTGAGTATGGTCGGCCGGTGGCGCTTGGTGCGGTGCTGGTATGTTCCAGCTTCCGATCTCCTTGAAGATTTGTGCTTGCTAAGTCTGCTGGTTCCGCGCACAGGATGAAGCGATCCGGAAGCATACTATGGTCCCATTGCAGGTTTTCAAAGCCAGTGCGCTCAGCTTGCAGCAAAGGCAATGGAGGATTATCAAACCCGGGGCATTGAGCCCATGGAATGTGATGACATGGGGGATGAAGCAGTTGAGAGGTTTTGTCGTTGGGAGTGACACGCCAGAGACTTCCGCTAGATTACAGGTTCGGGAGCTGGTATTGGTAGACAACCTAAAGGTATGGCTCTCTCGCAGTTTTGTCGAACAGGCCCTGAACGAATTCCACAGGAGGCAGCAGATCGGGTAGTGAAGCAGACTCTTGGGGGCAGTCAATCAAAGATGGATCTAATCTACTCCAAAGAACGTTTTACAGAAGAGTTCGCAACAGTTCTTAACAAGGACAGTGGGCTTTCAAGCGCTGATTTCGATGTCTTGTTACTTTATCTATCCCGTGATATAGGGGCTATCGCGTATGACGGCAAGGTAGGTTGTGATCCGTGCACATATGGAATGGGCACATATTGATGTGAACCAGACCATCAGGTTCAGACCCTCGAACGACTCGCCGCGCGAGATCACCGACCAAGACGCTACCATTGCCTCTATCAAATCACTCCTGTCGACTATGACAAAGCAAGTCGACCGTCTGGAGAGCAAGATTGAGGAGCTGAACTTGACCGCAAAAGTCGCTGTCCAGAAGAAAAATCGTGTCTCAGCATTGGCAGCGGTACGCTCCAAGAAGCTGGCTGAGCATAATCTGAAGCAAAGACTGGACACTCTGACGCAGCTCGAAGAAGTCTATTCAAAGATCGAAAATGCCGCGGACCAGGTTGAATACGTCCGAGTGATGGAAGCGAGCACGGGTGTTCTTCGCGGACTGCATACTCAAATTGGCGGCGTCGAGAGAGTTGAGGACGTTGTTGAGGAGCTGCGTGAAGAGATGTCCAAGGTGGACGAAATCGGCAACATCATGAATGAGGTTGCGCCGGAGATCGACGAGACAGAGCTGGATGACGAGCTTGAAGAACTGGAGAATAGGGAGCGACAAGCGGTGGAAGAAAAGGAGGCAGAAGAGACTCGCAAGAAGCTCGCTGAGCTTGACGACCTCGAACAGAAAGCCAAAGAGGCTGCACACACAGCCGCGTCGGAGCAGAGCGTAGATTCGGCGATCGAGGAAAGTATTGAAAGGCTGTCGCACATGTCGGTTGAGGAAGGTTCCGGGGCCACGGCCCAGTGAGATCTAGGGCATCCATCCCTCATGTCAAAGACATAGTTTTGGTGCTACAGTGTCTTCGCAGCTTCTTCAGGGGCAGTCTCTGTGCACGAGGCCGGCCTGTGAACTACTCTGGAGAAGAACTGACTACCTGCGTTATACTAGGGGTCTGTATCGTCTGAGTTTCATTCTCGGCAATAGTTGCAACTGAAGTGCCTTCAGCTACTGTCTGTGTTTGCAACCTCTCTGCAACTTCTGGTGGTGTTGACGTTTCAGTCGACTGCTCAGGTGCCGAAGCCATGGAGATTCCATCTTGAGCTGGAGCCGCCTGAGGTATTGTTGTGCGAATCACAGCGTCTTTTCTCTTCCGTGCATTCGCAATCAGCCGCTTGAACTCGTCACCATGGTTGTTTGACCACGCTGCCGCATCAAAGTCCTTGCGCATAACTGTGTTGCTAGATTCCGATGATGGAGCAGCATGTCCGCCCTGGGTGCGCTCCCATACAGCCAATTCGTGCAACAATTCTCGTTTGGACTTGGGTGCTTTCGAGTCGCAGTTCGCATTCCATAGATTCATCCACTCCGTGTGACGTCTTTGCAGAAGGGGCCGCGGGCCCCAGTTGGGTATACCCAAGTCTTTGAGCTTCTTGCGAAGAACATTATCCTTCAGCAGACTATAGTTTATGGTAGGGAGCCGTTCTGGTGGTTTGTCTGTGACATCTTTTGACTTGCGCGAGGCTGGGGACATGGGCTGCAGAGACCTAAAACAGGAGTCAGATACTTTGCATCGTATATTCCATTCTAAGAGACATCTTACCCGAAGGATGCTTGTTTTAAAGGAGCTGGGTCCCCAGTGCAAATATCCAAGTGTTGGAAAACTGCTTCATTTTTCATTCTCCGGCCGCAAATAGGGCATGCGACCAGACCGTCCTCTAAATATGCTCATATTAGACGCCATGGCTTCTTCAACCCCGAGCGGAACTTGGTTAAGTGGAGTATAACAACATACCCGGGATATATTCCTCGTCCTGGTCGTCTTCGATCGCATCCACCACAACAGGCTCAGCTTGGCTGTTCCCTCTTCTGCTTTGCGACCTTGTCCGTATCCCCTCAGGCCCAGACGCATCCGGACCATCCTCCTGATCCACTTTACGCTTCTTCGCCGCAGGTTGACCCGTAGCATACTCCCCATCCAGACGCGAGTTAGCGGCCTTCCTTGCAAGCTCGAGCATGCTCGGACGAGCATTTTGGAAGGCTTCCACCAACTCCTGAACCGCCCAATTACGCCGCAGCTTGAGCTCCTGATCCGAGCTCCGACAGGCTGGACATTTGCCCTCCGTACTTAGACATCGCCGTATACATAACGAACAGAACGTATGGCTGCACGAGGTGATGACGGGGTTGTCGAAAAAGTCCTTGCAGACTTGACAGCGGAGAGAGGATTCCAGCGGCGAGACGAGCGACAACGGCGTTTCCAGCCAGTCTGTGGAGTCGGGAAGGTCAAATGTCTGCTCCATTGAATCGGAGTAAGCTGCCGCGCCTTATGGCGTGGGAGAAAGACGATGTTTGTATGATCGTCAAGGCTGAAAAAGGAAGTCGAGACCAATGGCTACTGGTATCAGCGGGCGCAGCGCCAAGACCGGCTGACTGATACGCGTAAAGTGGTTTAACACGCGTCGCTCGGGGAAGGACCGTAAATGATCGGAGCTTCTATCCGCAAAGACACAAGCTACAGAAGCGCAAATCGCTGCAAGAACGAAGATGGCGGTGGCTGATTACAGGAAATACCTCGCAGAGAATGTCCTCAACGAGCGTCGTACAGTACGTGACATTCGAGCCGTGCTTTGAGCTGCGGGGAGCCTAATGGATTCAGGTCACCTATCGCTCGTTAGGTCGAGCTCTCAAAGTCCATTGCAATTTGGCCAAACAGTTCGTTTATCTACGACCTCATCGCTTAATACGGAAAGGTTAACACTTCCAGAATGCTATATGACTTTCACCATACGGAGAATAAGAAGAAGCCGCAGAGTGTGAATGCGACCTACATTATTACCGGGATTCAGAAACCACCAGAGAAGGATACAAACGGTGTTCATGCTGAGAACCATGACGATGGAGACGATATCATGCAGGGCAGCCCTTTCTTACCTAGCTCGATGCCAAATCAGGATGCGGCTTCCGACGAGGTACCAACGACCTCGATAATTCTCGCGCGCGAAGAAGATCTAGATGGCAAGTGCTTGCGATTAGCAAGACCAAAGTAAGCGGAGAGGGCTCATCGCTAACTTAGGTGTAGACGCAAAGTCAACCTTTGAGTCAATATCATTGATACACATATATAGCTTACAGCCCGCGGTTTTACAGGATCTCAACGTGCTCACCGACGTCCATCGAGAGATGCTGGCCGCTCATGCTCATGAAGATCCTTTAGAATACGGAAAGCAATGGGGAATGATTCAAAACAAGAACGTCAAGGTATCTTTCCTGGAATTCTGTGGCCATTGATCTGAAGAACATACCGCCTGACTTCTTGACCTGCAGAGGAGAACAGGCGTGCGGCCCCCTGCACCAGCACCCGCCCCGGCCCCGAAAAATGCGGCTCCCTCGAAACGGCCGTTACAGGACGAAGCGACACAAAAAGTAAAGTCGGAGAGCAAGAAGGCCGAACATGCAGCACCGACACCTCAAACAAAGGCTGAAGAGAAACCACCTGTCAAACCTAGTGAAAAGACTGCGCCGTTGAAGAGGGAGAAGAGTGACCTATTCAGCTCTTTTGCGAAGGCAAAACCAAAACAGAAGAAAGAAGGATCAGCGACCCCTGCTGTTTCTGGTGCCGAATCGGTCAGTGCATCCCAGCCCAACATCGTTGCTGCGAGATTACAGCTGCTGATGAAATTACCAGGCCGAGCCTAGCGGTGCAGAAGATGGTAAGCTCAGCATCATGCACTTCCAGGTGTCGGTGCAAGGACTAATAGATAGCAGTGGTTCTGGGGGATGCCTCTGATGAGGAGGAACCCGAAGAGCTCTTCCCTGACTCTGGGAAGTCATCGACGGCCAACAACCGTGAGACGAGAAAAGAACGAGAAGAGAGGCTCAGGAAGATGATGGAGGATGAGGACGACGACGGTACGCTAATTGGCTCTAATTTTCATACGACACTGCAATCTGACGGGTACTAACTCGTGCGAACATGAAGATGAGGAGATGGCAGATGTTCCAGAACCTCCCGTAGAGGAAGAAAAAACTATCGACCAGCCACCGCCCAAGGAGGAACCCAGGGAAGAGATAACAGTGTCAGGAGGCCGCCGAAGAGGTAGACGCAAGGTCATGAAAAAGAAGACCGTCAAGGACGAGGAAGGCTACCTTGGTGAGAACCTCCGTGCGCTGCATCTGATGACACTCTGAACCCCGCTAACCTGCCTTTTTCTCGCCAGTGACCGTAGAGGAGCCGTCATGGGAGTCATTCTCAGAGGATGAACCCGCACCACCGCCTAAGAAAAAGCCAGCCTTGAGTGCGCCGAAGGGCAAGGCCGGAGGGAAGGCCGGTCAAGGCAACATCATGTCATTTTTCTCCAAGAAGTAAAGTAGTCAATAGTGTAAAATCAGAAAAAGAAGCTGTTTTAGCCAAGCCCTAGAGCCCAGGTAGTCACTGCACGAGTAGAATTATGCCGAGTCATTTCTTCATCTCGCAGCGACATGGGTATTTATTCGGCTTGCTGGCTCCCCCCGCATATTATGACGATCTCCGCATCCTGAGCGGGGATGAACAAATAGCGACTATCTTTGGATTGCAAGAATCCTTTTGCAATGCTACCGTGGGACTCGGTGACTTCGGTTAAATTCCGGGCGAATATGAAGGATATGAGGACATTTGGAGAGCATTGGGTTTCGTACCGGTTCGAAGCGCATGTCCGCGTTCGACTATTTTGTCCATCACTTCCCCGTCTGGCATGCGCGGACACGACTGTTGAGAAACAATCGCCAAAGCGACACTATTGCATCCTTGAATCTTCGAGATCAGCTTTCACCCCTTTGAGATAACTTCACATTCTCAACGTAGAGACGAGTATAGTCAGAGAGCATCCAGCCGACTATGACTCGTTCGTCGGCCCTCTTTCTCGCCCTGACAGTCGGGCTTCAAGTCAGCGGCACCGCAGGGCTTCGAGACGAGCCTGCCATTCTGCGGCGAGCTTGTCCTGACTATGTCTCATACTCGACTGTACCGCAGTATGTCACCACGTCTCTGTATCTCTACGTGATTTGACTGACCAGGAGCTAATCTTCTCACGTTAATTCAGTCCTCCATACAGTGATGGTCCATTGAACCTACCCTTCCAAAGGCCAGCGACAGAATGTCGCACCTTTTCATCTCCAGAGGTGGAGAAAGTTATTGACGAAGTCACGTCCCGTATGGTGGACAAGGATTTAGCTCAATTGTTTCGAAATGCGTTTCCCAACACCTTGGACACGACCATCAGATGGCACACCGATGGCTCAACTGCGGCCAAAAAGACTAAGAAGGATGGTGCTCAATGGCAAGGACCACAGAGCTTCATCGTAACCGGCGATATCAATGCAGAATGGCTTCGCGACTCCACGAACCAATTATCCAGTTACCAGGCTCTAGCCAAAAAGGACAAAGCCCTCCACAACCTCATTTTGGGTGCCATTAACACCCAGGCTGAGTTTGTCATTCAGTCGCCATACTGCAATGCCTTCCAACCCCCTCCGCCCAGTGGCCTTAAGCCGACACCGAATGGGCAGGACGACAAGGTTCATCCGGCATATGAGCCCTCTGTTGTGTTCGAATGTAAGTACGAGCTCGATTCATTGGCACATTTCCTGGCGCTGGGAACCCAGTTCTTCGAAAACACGGGATCAACGGAGTTCCTCACGGACCGTTGGTACATGGCTCTGAACACCCTTCTCAGCGTTTTGGATGCGCAGTCACAGCCGACGTTCAACGAGCAGGGCCAATTCGTCACCGACCAGTACACGTTCCAGCGTACAACCACCGCGGGTACTGAAACTTTGAGCCTGGGGGGCGTTGGCAATCCATTGAATAATGGCACGGGTCTCATTAGAAGCGCATTCCGTCCCAGTGACGACGCTACTATTCTCGGGTACTTCATCCCGCCTAATGCGATGATGTCCGTCCAGCTGAAGAGGACCGCGGATGTGATCAAGGCGGCAGGAGGGAGTGCGGACCTGGTCAAAAAACTTCGGCAGCGAGGCGAGGAGCTTGATCACGCTGTCAGAGAGCATGGAGTAGTCCACCACTCAAAGTACGGCGATGTTTTTGCTTTCGAAGTGGACGGCTATGGCTCACGGATCCTCATGGACGATGCCAACATTCCGTCCCTGCTTTCGCTGCCTCTGCTCGGCTACGTTGATGAGAAAGATCACGTCTATCGCAACACGCGCAAGATGATACTCGACAAGAGCGGCAACCCGTATTATCTGACAGGCTCCGCGTTCCATGGCATCGGTGGACCTCACAGTAAGTTCATCTCATCTCCTTCTGTCAACCCTTCCATGAACAAAGGAGACGCTAACCATGATCTGCATGTAGTCGGTTTGCAGAACGCTTGGCCAATGTCACTCCTAGTTCAAGCGATGACAAGCGACTCTGAAGCAGAGATCACTGAATGCATCAACCTTGTCCGCAATTCGAGTCTTCTGGGTCTCGTGCACGAATCTATCAACGTCAACAATATCAAAGAATATACGCGTCCCTGGTTTGCTTGGGCCAACTCGGTCTTTGCGCAGACTATTTTGAAGATCGCAGCGGAGAGACCGCATCTGATCTTTGGGGAGGGCGCGAAGCCGTACATCGTCCAGTAATTGCATATACCCCTCTGTCTCTAATATTATTAGGGGCTGTCTATCCGATCACAGCAAGTATCAGGCTTCTCGCAGTATTAAATCCCTGATACATCTCTCCCTAAATATAATCGTCGGTTGGATTACTTGATATATAATGTGATATAATGACAGAGGAAGCTGATCTAGATGCGTCGTACACCTATTTCTCGACATGATTCATAACAATCAGATTAGAACTCGTCTAAGCCCTTCAGTACCCCCCAGCACCCTGCGTGCCGTGACTGGACATCTCCCTTTGCCGCTCTCCCACTTGCCCTCCCGACTGACTTTCTTCTCTTCAGAGCCTTCCTCTTTGCTTTTTGCACCATCCTCACTGTCTTCATTCTCATCTTCCCAGGCAGCGCCCGCGCTCTCGCCATTCATAAAATCTAGCTGCCGCTGGTGTTCCCCATTCAGCCAGTGAAAAATGCAAACATAACAAAATACATAGCCGGTCTGGCACGCCGTCGGATTCGTCAGCGTGTTAAGGCAGATCGGGCAGGCAGACGCGCTATCCGAGTCCGCAGGTGGGAGAGGAACGGTGAAGATAGGTAGGCACGAGGTAGCCGAGATGGGTGGCTGCATCCGGCGGCGGGGGCTTTTGAGCGCGGGCTTGAGGTCCTTCGAAGCGGCTTCCTTGCTCTTCTGCGAGTCTGCTTTCTTGATTCTTTCCGAGGGCGGAACCATGCCGTTGACGACGGGGGCAGGGAGATCGAGCACCTCCGTCGCTTTGCGAGCCAGCTGGCGCGAGAAGTCGCTTGCGTGCCACCATTCGAGGAACTTCAGCGCGAAGATCGACGCCGGGAGGAAGTAGCGCAGCGAGGCGAGGAGCTGTGGGTAAAGGTTCTGCGGGCTTAGGAGACCCAGGAGTCCTGAGCCGGGGCGGGAGCGCGCGGCGGCAGCGCTGGCGCTGGGTTTGGCGTCTAGCACTGCGGCGATGGCGCGGTGATCGGCGGCACCTAGGCGGCGAATTCGGGTGCCGATGAGCCACAGGAAAGGGGAGGAGTATTTCGTGTTGTCGAAGAGGTAGGCCAGGTTGAACGCTAGGATGGAGAAGTAGTACGCGGCGTTGACGGAGGGGTAGACGTTCCGCAGGAACCATTTGTAATAGTACATCAGCCGCTGGCGGATTGTCGGGCGTGGGGGAAGGTCGTCGCTGGGATTGTATCGCGGCCCGCCGCTCAAAATCAGCGACGCCTGCGGTGCGGCGTGTATGTCGTAGCCCTCGTCCAGCTTGCGCTTCAGATATGGGATTCCGACCATGACAAAAAGGTTCTTCCACACGTCCGAGGAGCGCAGCTTAAGAGACTCGCGCACGGGACCTGGCGCGCCGAGCTGCGCCCGGGAAATCTCGCCATTCTTGGTCCGTAAGACTCGTTCTCGTTTAAGAGAGTAGAAGTTCTCGGTGAAAGAACCGCCAAAGGTGCGGAGATAGTAGCGCTCGACAATGAGAGACAGCAGTGCGTAGACTTCGTCGTATGAGTTTAGGATTCGTAATAGATAGCGAGGATGACGATGTGTAGCGATCGCGAGGAGATATCGAAGTGAAGGAGGCAAGAGATCTGAGAGCTGTTGCTCGGCGAGGAGTTCTGAGAAACTGAATCAGTTGAGGTTCTTGAGTCCAATCATCTAAGGTCAGTTCGCTTACCGAAAAGCGACGGCTTGAGCTCGTCAAACTCCTGCTGAAGACTGGGTAGGTATTCCATCGTGAAGACGGTAGTTAGTCATCATCAAATAGCTAAAGCTGGAGCTACAGATCAATGCAGATGTTAAGAAGCGGACAGTCGCCGCCAGTCTGGGGAAGATGCTGTCGTGACGCCGGACTTGGCAGCCGAGGTTCATCGGCCAGCCGTCGGGGCATATGCGATATAGACTTTCGGTCTACTTCAACACTCTAAACTACGTACGGAACAACAACAATGTGGGACATTTCATATCCAGGTACCTCTTGATTTACACGGGTATATAGGCTTATAATACATTTATATGCTCCGCAGAACCACATCAACCTCTCGCCGGCGCATTGTTCTTACAGTCGTTCCAGATCAGTGCCAGGTTACTCGTTGACCCTGCTGTTGCCATCCGGTCAATGGCCGGCTCTGCAATCAGGATACAGTACATAATATGCTGCACTACTTGTCCCCTGAGTGGAATCGGGGGATGTTCACGACTCATTATAGGCGCCCAGGTGGATACACAGTCTCTGGCGCGACGCTCATCCCCTAACTCTGCATGCAGCCGGAAAAGCATCTCATAGTCTGCAGAGGTACGCGGGCTGCCATTCAGGGGAAGCTTGCTCCATAATTTCCAAAACCCGTCATAGTCTTCGTTGCGAAACATAGACATCATAAGCTTGCGAGCCTCCTCTGGGTCAAACTGGATGTCGAGGGTTTCAATCAACTTCGCTACGCGCGATGTAGGTCGATCTTTGGTGGTACCTGTTACATCTTTAACGACTTCTTCACCAGAAAGGTTTGTCGGATGACTGGCTGCTTTGTATAACAAATGGAACACTTTCATATTAAGGATATCAGTCCCGCGCAGAGAAAGATGTTCCAGGACGCGAAGAGCGAGTTCTCTGTCGGCTTCTGGCAACACCCCAGTAGCCTTGGGACCTCCCTGGCGGGCCGGTAGTGCCGTTAACATGGCTGAAACGATTTCGATGCCCAGTTCATCGGATATGAAATAGGTGTGGTAGTTGCAAGTCGTGAAAGCTTT